AGTGGTTCCTGTGCCTGTTCTGTTGATCCAGAGCTGATCCAGATTGTTATTCTGCTAGGTGGTTCTTTTTTTGGTCATTTTCCAAAACTTTTTTAGATGTTTGTTCTATGAAAGGCTGTCAATCTGTCCATGTTGTTTCCTCTCTACTAACCCAGTCCCTGCTGGAATACACTCCACCTGTGAAAGTGAAGAGTAGAAAAGTATAAAAATTAGGGATGTCCGATATTATCGGCCGATATTCACTAAAAAATGTAATATCGGGAATTATCGGTATCAGGTTTTTATAACCTATGTTTGTTCTGTAGGCTTCAGCATTTCCGAGCCTGCATTAACGCAGCATGGGACGTTTACCGGCGCGTGCTAGATGACGTATAACAGCAACAACTACACGCTAGACTGGTCGGTTGCTAACCGTGGCTAACAAGCAAACAATTTAAAACTGAATGATTTTAATATTAACACAAAATAAGTGCAATGCACCTTAAATATTTTACCCTGCTATGAGCTGTTCCTTAACCAAACTAACAATTGGCTTAGAATTTACATTAGCACTCCTTCAGGTGCATAATACAATTAAACACATTAACCAAAGCTAGCGCTTAGCTAGCAATTAGGGTTAGCGCTCTTTTCAGTATTAATACAATGAAAGTTGAAGTTGTTCTCTTATTTTGCACAGACACTGTTTATATTTATTTATTTGGAAAGCCATGTTGCATTTATGTATGCATCCAGTGGGGCATCACAATAAAATTAGGCATAATGTGTTAATTCTACAATAGGAGATATGTTATGTTGTTACCAGTTGTTAACAGTTTTGGTGTAAAAAGCCTGCATATATCGGTATCGGGTGATATCGGTATCGGAAATTGAGAGTTGGACAATATCGGAATATCGGACATCGGCAGAAAAGCCAATATCGAGCATCCCTAATAAAAATGTATATAAATGAATGCACAATACAAAGTTTAATACCTAAAACTACTAGAAAGTGTATACCTCAGCCAAAGCTGTTACTTGAATAATTTTTAGACATGAATCTGTATCTGGATCCAGATCTGCATCAAAATACACATATAGTGCTGGACAATCATGGAAATTTGAAGTCCAGTATTTCATGAAAAAAATTTAAAATGTCCCACTGATCTTGAAAAAAAAAAATCTTGTACCTGCACCAAACATAACTTTATACAATACCACTTTATACAAGGGCAAACAGTAAGTTCAGTAAAGCATAAGGCTGAAATAATTTTTTCTTGTCAGCAAACGTCATGAAAAGATCAAAACTAACATTTTGTATCTGTATCATTTAGTGCGTCTCACTAAACTATTTGTAACTGCAGAAGACCGAAAAATAAAAAATAAAAATTAAATCTAAATAATGTCCTAAAACAGTACACATTGCATATGTTGAGGACAATTTTCAGTTGCAGAATAAATGTGGGGTCAGTCATTTGGAAGAAAAATGGTTGATTGTTGAGTCTCATTCCCAGGTTGTCAGATACAGAGGCTTTGGCAACCCGAAGCGTTGGACGATTGCTCTGTTTGGCTCACTCTGAGCCATTTTGTTTGTTTTCCGTTTACCATAACTCGAAGCATCAGAATTTGATGACCTGGGAATGAGCATGAACAATTTTTCTTTGGGGGTCCCTTTAAGACACATTTGGTGCTCTGGTGAATATTTATGGCAGCAAGATAGTGTAAGTGGTTTACAAACTACGTGTGTGTACATGGTAATGAAGATTATTTTATAAAGAGTACGGTCTAGACCTGCTCTATTTGAGAAGTTTGTCCTGATTTGGCGCTATACAAATAATAATAATAATAATTTGAACTGGAGTGAATTGAATGAAAGAACATGTAACCCAGTGCAGCAGTGACTGTCGGTCATCAAACAGGTCAGATAAACCTTTGATTCACCAAATAAGATGTAAAAATATTTTATCTCTACAGCTGTGAATCATTTCACTCTTTCTTCGACTCTGTGTGTACTGCCCTGCTGAACATTCTTCGGAGGCAGACCAATGAAAATTAAAAATTAAAATCTCCCCAAAAAAAGACGAGAGGCAATAGATTTGTCTAATCGTAGACCCTATTATGTTTTACATTTATTTAATGCAGTCAATTCCATGGGCTGTGAGATTGTTCAGTTTATAATGTAGACTACATATCTCCATATACCCTGCCTTCCCTCCTGTGTGTGTGTGTGTGTGTGTGTGTGTGTATATGTGTGTGTGTTACTGCTTATTGTTTTAAAGATTCCCACTGCGCTGTTTGTTACTCACACATTATCATGATGAACATGCTGACCTGGAGGTCCAACACACCAGTCTTAATGAGTCTCCCTGTGTGTGTGTGTGTGTGTGTGTGTGTGTGTGTGTGTGTGTGTGTGTGTGTGTGTGTGTGTGAGGTGTTATTTTTAGCATCTTTACTTTCTAAAAAGTAATAGTGTGACGTCATTAGGTGCACACAGTAGTGTGATAACCAGGGTATACGTGTGTGTGTGTGTGTGTGTGTGTGTGTGTGTGTGTGTGTTTATACAGTTGTGATTTAGATTCTCAGCCACTGAGAGAGAAATAAAAGCAGCCATCTATCTCTCTGTTCCCTCCACAACATCCTCTATGTTCATTAGTGTGTGTGTGTGTGTGTGTGTGTGTGTGTGTGTGTGTGTGTGTGTGCATCGCTTCACTGGCATCTCATTGCATGAGGCCGTTTGGTGCTCTACATCAGGATGGTTCGATACATTAAAAGGCAGGAGGTATAATACATTTTCCGACTGACAGACACGAGGCAGAGCTCTGACTAATGATGCTTTACACCTTAATGCATCCAACAGGAACAGCTAAGGCTACAATTACCTTGTGTGACTCCAACCAAGCCAGACCACATTAAAGAATAAAGACAGCAGTACAGTACAGTGCTTTTTTTTGTTTTAATTAACTATCAAAATAGTTGCAGATTAATTTGCTGTCGATGGATTTAACCAACAAATCTTTGCAGCACTAGTGTGGTTTTCCTCCGACAGTTTGTATGTGGTCTGGAAACACAAAAATACAGAAATGCTGCTCGCACTGAAAAGAATGGAGAGGGAGAGCAGAAAAAGGGAATAGAGGCACACATTTAAATAAATGCAGCTGTAGCATCCATTTTGAAATCATGTCATGAAATCAAGTATGAACACATGAGGATTACAGTGTTAAGAGCGTGTACGAAGATGATACTGTGCATATAATTGTCTGTATTTGGTTAATGTCAGAGGGTAGCAAAACAGACTTTGATTCATATGAAAATTTGACAGATTAATACTTTATTAAATCGAGACATCAAACTCTGTATAAACTTATTTTTTGGGCAATCAGAGTCTCAATCAGAGGTTAGTTACTATCCCTGACTGCACGAGCTGCATGAATCAATTTATGAATGATTTTCTGAGTGTGGGTACTGGAAAGAACCTCTTCATATGCAAATAAGCAATTAGGTTGAGTCGTTCGTTGTTCGTCGCCAGCCTCTATCCTCCCATTTCTCCCTAATTCTACCGTGTCGTTTTACCACCAAACGTCTTTCAACCGGCACTTCCTCTCTCTTCATCCTCCTTCATCTTGCCTTCTCTCCTCTTCCCCCTTCATCCCTCCTCAGTACCCCCACCCCCAATCTCTCTCTCATATTCCCTGTGGTGTTGACCATGTGTGAATGGGTCTGAATGATGGGTGGGAATTAAGCTACATGCAGTGTACACACACACACACACACACACACACACACGCACGCACACACATAAACACACTCCCACATGCACTCGCAAGAGATGCTGACGCGTGTGTGTGTGTCTGTGTGTGTGTTCGAGGAGGACTTGGACTAAGGAGGATGAGTCACTCTCTGCCTGACACACGGCACACTCGTAGGAGACTGCATCCTAGTCAATACAACACAAACACACACACACACACACACACACACACACACACACAGTAACTGACATACACTGATAGAAAGGCTCTTACTTACATGCATGATTGATAGTGTTCATGTATCAGTTTAATGAGCTCCGTAGATATGTGCGTACACTTGATGTCTGTATTTTAGTGTGTATTTTCTGTATTTAAAGTGCTACTGTGCGTGTGCTTCTGTGTGTGTGTGTGTGTTTGTGTGTGTGGTGGGTGTGATAAGGATTTTCATTGGTGTTTCCCATACATACCCTGAAGGCTATAGCACTGTCCTGCATCATCTGTCATCTCTCTCTCTCTCTCTCTCTCTCTCTCTCTCTCTCTCTCTCTCTCTCTCTCCTCTCTCTCTCTCTCTCTCTCTCTCTCTCTCTCTCTCTCCCCGCTGCTGCTTTTGATGTATATTCATGTACATGTATATTAGGGCTGCACAATTAATCGAAATACTATCGAAATCGCAATATGGCCAAGAGCAATCTCCTAATCACAGAAGAAAAATGTAAAATCTGTTACAAAACAGCATTATAATGACGTACTGTAGTGCTGCAGAGATGCCCTGGCTTTAGAAATCATGTTTCACAGATGTAAGGAAAAACTGTTTGTTTAGTACAGACCCCAACAAATGTCAAATGTCATGAATTTAATAGGGTTTTTTTTTTTGTGATTATCATTCCCACTTATTGTGAATCACAATCACAGTATCTGTCAAAATAATAGCTATAATATTTTTTAGAATGGATATAGATTCTCATACAAATGTGATTTGATGCAGTATAATTATACAAGAAGATGAAATTATTGATTGACCCCAAAAAATAAATTATTAGCCCATAATATAAAAGTATTCTGAATTCTTATGAAAAAATGTTTGATATGATTTTATTTGTATAGTGCCAAATCGCAACAGAAGTTATCTCAGGACACTTTTCAGAAAGGGCAGGTCTAGACCGTACTGGTTGTAAAGACCGTTCAATGTTCTTTTGTTAATTTAAAACCAATAGTATTTCATTTTCTCTTGTGGAACAATACAGATCTGAACTGAAGTGTGTTCTTCCTCTGCAGGAACATTCAGAGGTGTGTGTAAGAAGATTGATCACTTCCCAGAGGACGCTGACTATGAAGCAGATGCTGCTGAATACCTCCTCCGTAAGTCTGACTCTAACACAAGCACAAGGCATGTGCGTACGCATGCATACACACACATCGTAATATTTACAACCCACCTCAGCTTTTACTGGCCTGTGACCCCATTAGAAAAAAATGTTTGTATCCCTAGCAAAGGTATGCAAGGAACCTAAATGAGCCATCTGGACATGATTATAGTTTCTGACCCATGTTCAATACATTTCTATCAATCAAACATATATAAACAACCTTTGGATAAGTGTCACTGTCAGGCCAAGACTGCTATGAACTTTGCTGGACACACTCATGCTCTCAAAAGGGTTGAACCCATTTCTGTTTTAAGGTTATTGCTCATGTAGCACAGGACTAACTTTAAATTTTTAATAATAATATTACAGTGAATTTATACATCAGTAAAATTGTCAGTACATTGTTTGTTCTATAACATAAACTTGTTTAGGCTCGAATGAAGCTCTTTTTCCAAACATAAACCACAAATGCAGTTAGTTATTGATGTGCATGCTCCTTGGCCTTGGCAGTAGTACTCTGTTAATACAGTAGGTAGTAAGATACTTAGCCAGACATGCAAACAATTGTAGGTTAGATTAAAGCAGACAAACGGTCAATTGGATAAGATCTTTAACGGAGAGAAACATTGAGTTGTGTACATCCAGCAGACTGGAAATCGCTGCAGATGTGATAGATAGAGCTATCTCGTGTAACATTGGCTGGGAGGAATGAATAGTAGCTACAAAAACCAAGAGAGAGGAGATAGATGAACAGGGAGGGTATACTGGGGAGAACTAGAGATATAAACAGATGGCAGGGTTTTACCATCAAGTACGTAAGAAAAATGAGAAGAAAAACATCGGCATGATGAGAAAATGACTAAGGAGAAAGGTGGGAGCACCTTGTTATTTCCAGAAAGAGGTAAACAGGATGCAGCTACAGAGATAGAGAGAGGGTGGTTCAGTGAAAAACAGAGAGGAGGGGGCTCTGTGGGTTCTTTCTCCCACAGTAAACACAGAGTAAAGATGGACAGAGCGAGAAAACAGCAACAACAACAAAAAAAGGGGGGAAGATGGATTCAGCCTGTGCTTCTTTTTCATTGCTCCACTGAACACAGAGCAACATCCCCAGAGGCAGCCAGTTAGATCACAGGCCTCAGAGCTGGCCAGCCAATGGAGAGCGGGGACCTAGTGACCGGCATTTCATACAGCCCAGGGGTGTGGGCCACAAGGGCGGGGCTTAAACGCTCACCCGCGTGAACGCCACTGGTCACTGCAGCTGTCAGTCATGCTGGAAATGTTTTGGAACGCAAGAAGACGTAAAGAAAACAGATTCACCTTCATGGAACACAAATGCAAATATGATTTTATGAAGGAATTTTTTTGTAATGACACACCTGTGATGTGTGAGTATCAGCTGTTCAAAAATACCACGCAGCCCAGTTCTGCATGACAAGCTGTTTGCAGATACCCTTCAATATGTTATCGCATCATGTACACATATGGGGCTCTGACAAATATTTCAGTCCTACTGCAGCCTCGCTTTCATTTTCATCATCTCCGCTATTCATTATTTTGCCGCGCATATGTGTCAGTGCGACTCTCCATCTGTCTTGGTTTTTGTCCATCTTCTCCCTCTACATCCATCTCACTCTCGCTCTCTCACTCTCTCAAGCGAGGCCTCTGAATGCTTTAACATGTTCTGGATTCAGACTCAGTCAAGCATGTGGCAGCACACTAGCCCATGTGTCTATTGTGTGTGTGTGTGTGTGTGTGTGTGTGTGTGTGTGTGTGTGTGTGTGTGTGCGTGCGTGCATGCGTGTGTGTGCGTGTGTGTTTGTGTGTGTGTGTGTGTGTGTGTGTGTCACATTTTTGTGTGTGTGTCACATTTTTCATTGTTTCAGCTCTGTTCTCCAGCACAGTGGATTTGAAATGAAACAATGACTATGACTGTTGGGAAACCGTGCAGGAATTTTGACACTTTTCTAATTAGGTTTGGTCCCGTGTAATAGGTGGCGTGAAGGCCACAATAAACCTTTTTCAGAGCAGCCATTTTGATATGGAATAGTAAACACAGGTGTAAAATACGATGGATGATGTATAACGTTAACAGCTACTCAGAAAATAAGCTCCTTTTCCTCCATTTCCCGCCTCTCCTGTCCCTGCCTGAACCCGCCTCAGAGTTATAGTCCTGGTCGGGGCCGCTGTAAATCAGCGGACCTCCTTTGGTCTTGGAGGTTGTGAGCCTGTTTCCATTGTCAGCTAATGAAAAGAAAACCCTATAGAAATCAAAGCCCTCAGTATATACATGGTGGCATTAAAATGTTTCATATTCTATGTACTCCTGACAGTAGAATAAGCTACTATAAACCTATATAAAGGCTCAACAACAAAACAACAAAAACTGTGATATACAGTGAAACTGCCAGAATTAAAAAAAATATATGGGAAAAAAGTGTTTGGACATACCGCCCAGCACTACACAGGTGTTACCAATGACACTGATTATGGTTCTGTTCTGTTTAGTGTATCAGAGCCTTTCCATTGAGCCAACATGCACAATAGCAGCCCCCTGACTCTGTCTGACCTGAATGGAACCTTAATTAGTATCATTGGTTACGCCCGTGTTTACACTATTTCATGTAAAAATGCTGCTGAGAATATCCAATATGTTACTATGTTGTTTTGTTCTTTCTGCGAATGTTGTAAATGTATTGCGTACCATCTGCTATTTTGAGATGTGTATATCTATGGAATGGTCCCGTAAGGCAAACCAGCAAATTTCCAACAAAATGGGAATTCAGTTCAAATGTAGCGCAGAGGTCGGCAGTGTTTTCAGTGTTCTTTGTTTTTGCAGTATAGCAGTGCCTCAAATTTTATTTATTCATCACAGGCAACATCTTGATTTAAAAAGAAAAAAATGGCTGGCTGCAAGGGGATCTTTACATCTTTTCTGGGGCACAGGAGAAAACATAGTATAGCAAGTAAAAAATGAATAAACAAGTGAATACGAATAAGGAGCACATGCAAAACAGAGTAAACAATAAAATGAAAATGGCACTTTCACAGGAGGGCCTTACCTGTGATTGAAATCACTTTATCCATTTTTATTTTTCAAATAATAATAATAACCATATTTATACCCTGTGTGGGTCTGTGTGTGTGTGTGTGTGTGTGTGTGTGTGTGTACAGGTGCTGTGCGTGCCTCCAGTATTTTCCCCATCATGAGTGTGGGTCTGCTTTTCCTGGGGGGGCTCTGTGTGGCCGCCAGTGAGTTTTACCGGAGCCGACACAACGTCATCCTCAGTGCAGGAATCTTCTTCGTCTCTGCAGGTAAGTCTGTGCTGTGCTGTGTGTGTGTGTGTGTGTGTGTGTGTGTGTGTGTGTGTGTGTGTGTGTAGGTATGTGTATGTGATGACAGTGGTGTCTGTGGCCAGTGCACCATTGTACATAAGGTAGGTCCTACATTAAGAGCAGGAAGGTCTCGTTCTTCCCTAAATGACACATCTTTTACATATTGACCCTTCTGTAGAGCAGTCATCAGTCGTCAGGTTTTGTAGAGCAAAAAAATACACATATTGTACGTGTCCTAACAGGTCAATTCATACTTCATGTGAAATGTCGTAGGTAGGTCCAGAATCCTGCTGCTTTAAGAATTGTCACTCTCTAGTCCAGATTTTAGCCTCATTGGCTACACATGTTTTATATTGACATTGTATTGATTTTGTTGCTTGCTAATGTTGCTGATGAAATGTTTTGTATTGTGTTTGTCTTTTTTTTTCTCTGATGGCTGCTACTACTTTTGCCACTGCAATGACCCAATTTCCCCACAGGAGGCATGAAAGTCAATAAGTTCTTAATTAAGAGCAAAGAGAGTTTAAATATGAAGAGCATAGTCATACAGTCCTGGTGGGGTTTTTTTGTTGTTTTGTTTTGTGTCTTTTTTACAGAATTTATTTTTTTTTTGGAAAGAAGAAGATCTGATTTTCCCCCTCTTTGCTTGTTATCACACATCATAAACTTGGCAGGTCAGAATATGCCACCATTAACAGAAATGTGGTTGTAGTTGAAAGGAGAATTGTTTCATTGTGAGCATGAAGTCCAGCAAACTGTAATATTTCAACATACTGATGTTCAACTTCAGGACAATACTAGCATAGCAGCCATCTTAGTGGCGGTACCAGCCAAATGACTTAAAATACCCATGTCTGATCTCTAGGAGTTTAAATACAAACACGCCTGCTGCGTTTATGATAGCAACAAAGGGGGTATATGTGTGTGTACGTGTCTGTGAGTGTGTGTAGTTGTGTTAGTGTGTAGCCACTTTAAACAGAGGAGGTGCAGCACTCAAATATTTGTAGAAGAAGCCCGTTAGGCATCCAGTGCACACAGAAGTGCCTGTGTGAGAAGCCAGAGTGTGGAAATTGGGCACAGCAGCTGATTAATCAATCAGCAAGAATACCATGATGCTGCTGTGATGCACTGTGAGGGTGTGAGAGTGTAAACACACATACATCCTAACACACATAATCTATCACGTGGATGCTGACACTTAGTCTCTCATAAACACACACACACACACACACACACACACACACACACACACACACACACACACACACACACTTACGCTCTTGCCCCTTACACACACAAAGGGTTGTAATTGCTGTTTAGTGGGATGTGTAGGGTCCCATTGGGTTTTGTAGTAAATTCATGGAGCCAAATTGGTAATTATTTACCACAATAGTGTGGGGCTGATTCTGGTTAATTACAGCTGGCTAATTGTCCCCATTCTGTGCGTTCCACCACACTGCATGAGCACTGTATTCTGGACTAATGATATGGAATAAGAGAGCCCAGCTGTGTGCAATGACTCTCTCCAGCATTTCTATCAAGCTCCACTCTCTCTGATGCTCTCCTCCCGTTACTTTGCTTTATTTCATTTGGCTGTCTCCCCGTCACTCCTCTTCTTCTTCTCTTTCTCTGACATTTTTTCTTTCTCAAATTCTCATTCCATTTTACTCTCACTAATCTGCCACTTTATTATGTCTTATTGTGTGCATCACAAAATTATAGATTTTTATCCATGCTAGCAGCATGGCTCTAGGGACAGAAATGTCTATTGGCCAGTCTGAAATATCTCAACAACTATTGGATGAATTGCCATGACATTTGGTGCAGACATCCATGTCCCCCTCTGGATGAGTTTGAATAAACCTTAGCTTTCCATCTAGTGCCATCATCAGGTCAGAGTTTTAATTTGTCCAACGCTCTGGTTTATGACCAAATAGTTGTGAAACTAATGACATTAATTGTTAACAAACTAAAAACTAAACTGTTAAATGTGGTGAATGTTATACTTGCTAAACATCGTCATGTTAGCTTTGTCATTGTGAGCTGATTAGTGGTCCAGCCAGTTTCTGTACACAACTGCAGACCACATTAACCATACAGTTTTACTGCGGCTGTTACTTGTTCAAGTAATAATTCCCTAAATGTCAATGCAGGGTTGCAGTGAAAAGATAAGCAAAACACATGTATGCTGTGCTGTTGCTCTAAAGTGCTTTGATAAGCCCCTTTCTTATTATTTGTCTCTTTCTTTCCTTCCCTTCCAGGACTCAGTAACATCATAGGAATTATTGTCTATATCTCTGCCAACTCGGGAGACCCAGGCCAGAGCGACAGCAAAAAGTCCTACTCCTACGGCTGGTCCTTCTACTTTGGCGCCCTCTCCTTCATCATGGCAGAAATGGTGGGCGTACTGGCCGTGCACATGTTCATCGAGAAGCACCGCAAGCTACGGGCCAAGTCCCGCACCGAGCTCATCAAAAAGTCCGCCTTCAGCCGCATCCCCTCCTACCGCTACCGCTTCCGGCGTCGCTCCAGCGTGCGTTCTTCTGAGGCCCCCAGCCGTGACACCTCACCGCTGGGGAAAGGCGGCTACACAGGGCCTGCCGCCTCTGAGATGCCCATGTACACGCTGAACCCACGCGAGGCAGGCAACGCCGGCACCAAACCTGGCGGCAGCATGGGTGGGCTGCTCAACTCAGAGAGGGAGTTCCTCCAGAGCAGCACGCTCACCAAAGACTACAGCAAGGACCCCAACCGCAGGACCACACCCGTCTGAGAGGTGCTGGCTGCAGATATCGAGTCAATCAGAGTATCAAAGAGAAGGATGATGAGAAATACAGGGGGAGTGCAAAAGCAGGGGACACACAGGGTTAAGGGGTGGGAAAAGGGGTTTGATAAACTTTGACTGTGAACTGTGAACTTTTAGCCTTTGAACTGTGAATCCTGAGCCCTGTGAGAGTTTCAGCGTGAGTTGCAGGGTTGGTTTTAATGGAGAAGTTGTTCCCAACTCCACTTTACCACATATCTCTGTAGTTATACCTGTTACTCCTTACATATGAAGGCACATACAATTTATGTTCATAAATTGACCTACTGGCTTTTTAAAGGGAGAAGAAATGGGATTGACCCAAGTTTAATAGCATATCGTAAGTGGTTTGCTGTTTGGGGCATCTTCTCCTAAAAAATGAAAATAATGTGAACTAAAGGAGAAGAGGAAAGAGGTGAGAGACTTTGTGTAATCTGACCTTTTGACCTCTGTCCTCCTGACCCTTTTGGATAGCAGCGGAGTTGGATTAGTGCAGGGAACAGCCTCAGAGCTCCGAGCTGTCTCTCTGATTACGATAACTGTTTAAAAGTGCAGAAGTTAACACCTCAGGATCGGGATTGATTCATTTTCAGTTCAGCCGGATTCAAAATATAAATTGAAGATGCAGTTTGTCCATTTAATGGCAGCACATTTGTGGCACTAGTTATTATTTTCTATACACATTGTATATATATACTCTCTTTTCATATTGATTGATTGAGTTAATTGTAGAAAAGCTCACTTCATACCTGACTGAACTGAAACTGAATTGCGCTCATTCCTGGTACCATTCAACCCATCTCTCTGATCCCAGGTCAGTTATTAAACCTGCGTAACGGTTTTTGGTGACATACACTGACTACAGATCAGCTGTTAGGTAGGAAAAGGTGTGACTCAACAAAACTAATGAATCTCTTTTAGATGGTAACGTTAGATCATTGGTGCTTCCTTTTACCCCCTAGTTTGCAGCCACACAAGTCATCTCTCAATTTATTTTTTCGCCTAAAAACTTAAAAGAGATGATCAAATATTTGTCCGTCTGTCCGCCTTCACCCATCGCCTTTCACCTTCCACATTTTTCTGTGTAGCCCCATAACTCACCTCACTGCCACCCTTCACACACCTCCTCTCACCCTCTCTTTCTCTTTTAGGTCCTGTCTTCCGTTGGTGTCGCTCGTATAGACTAGTTAGGTGTTCTGGAGGTTGTTGGTTCAGGGTACTGTGGAGAGGAGACCGCTGAGCTGTGAATATGCTTTAAGGCAGAGCCAAAAAGACATTAAACAAACAGATTTTTTTTTTTGTTTGCCCACTACCTCTTGGTGAATATCTTTCAGATGAATTTAATATAAAGTTGTCTTTTCTTGCCAGAACAATTGTCAAAAAAATAAAAAATTCAGCTGCAGAAATAAACAGAGAAAATGCTCACTTCAGTCTAAAGTACACATCTCTCTTCTCCAATGGAGGGTCTGTTGAAAAAGAATTTAAAGATAAATAGATGGAATTGGAGGAAGTCCCATGCATTATTCAGAGGATTTGTGCTCCGTCCGTTCAGCTGTTACTCACAGCCTCTCCTCCTTTTTATCTCCCTTACATGTGCACATACTGTATACATCTGCACAAATACACACGAGCCTCTACACATCTACCACATGTCTCCTACATGGAGCTGTGACATGCACAGACAGTCATGGCCCTGTTATCCTTAAAAAAGAGACACGTTTAGAGACACATCAATACATTTCCATATATCAGTCTCCCCTGCTCTCTCTCTCAAACACATGGACATGAAAATACTAAATGGATCGATTGAGCACACAGTAGGCAGATGTGAGCTTAGATTTGTTCAAGATTATATCCAGATACAAAAATGGTGCACTCTGACACTATATACTGTTTTGGCCCCATTTTGTATTAACAGCCAAGTGTTTGTTAAGCATTTAAGATATTTGCCACTCATGAACATGAGAGGCACATGATTTATTGTTTTAAGAGCCCTTAGTTTTAGCAAGACGACACTAAAAATGAGAGAGAGGGTTAGTTTATGAAGGGAAGAGCGATAGAGGTTTGAATCCAAGCAGCGATTGGATGAATAAGTACTGGATAAGAGGTGAGACGAGAGGCGTAAATTAGGCTGGAATCTGTGTCATTGTCAGCCAGTGATGTTTTAGAAGGCTAAAGAGTGTTAATTGATGGTGTGATCTTCCTAAAAATATAATAATGCAATCTAAATAAATAAATATATACTGTATCTGTGCTGTTTTGGACTGGGGACTGATCACTTTCCAATTGATACATACTGGTACACTTGTTTCAGTATCCTAAATATCTAAATATATGGTATTAGGCTTTATTTTTGCTTTTGAAATTATATATTTTTTGCGTACAATCAGTTTTTTACTGGATCTACCAAAATCTGTTGCCACCTCTGTCCAATTTAAATGTTGGCAGAGGATTAAAAGGTCAGTTTCCTAGACTTTTACAACACATACAAAGACCCAAAAAGGCTTACTTTGCAACACTTTATTACAGAGAGCGTCATCTGAATGCAGGAGATCGTATTAAACCATTTATCACATCACTAGACAACACCTGATCACACACATACATACAAGGGGAGGGGTTGCAACAGAGTGAGAAGAAGGCAAAATAGCCATAAAACAGAGAGTTAGGGAAAGCTGAGGAGAGAGAGAATCAGTAGCTAGTATAAATATTCACAGCATTTTTCTCAAACTTCGTCTTCTATGAGTAAAAAGTGCGCGTGAAAGAGGGAAAAAATGCATTTTTGTTTCCTTCTTTACCTCCCTAAGCCACCATTGCACTGTTTTGTATAAACTAAAACTGAAACACCAAGCTGATACCAGTCACACTGAGAGTTATTACCCTGATAATAAAAGATGTTTTAAACCTCAGTCATACTGTTTAATTTATGACGCTGCTGCTTTATCCACTGTCTTTAACGCCATAAAGGGAGCTTAAAGGGACAAAACGTGTATCACCACAGACTTGCTCTTGCTGTCCTCCACATGTAAATATTAATTTTGCAAGCTAACTACAACATCAGCAGTTGTCATGGGCTGTGAAAGGGGAAAAAAAAAGCTTTTCTCAAAGCAAGGGCTTTTAATTTTTTAAGGACAGGAGCACACAAGGGCTTTTTACGCTCAGCGCTGCAGCAACGTCGTTTTAAGGGTGTTATGTAGGAAGGAAAGGCAAAGTACATTTGCACAGGAACAACCGTTTTTAAACCAGCTGAATAGCTAACTAAGGATATAACAGGCTTCTCGCAAAAGAGAAGCAGAGGTCGAGAAAACGCAAAGACTGTACTCTTCTACTCACGTTAGCTACAGGTTAGCCTTTAGCGGATTTCTTTGCTAACTTTAGGTTAGATGGCTGACCTTATAAAGTAATTAGCTATGAAGAATATTGCCTTAAGCAGAGGTAGGATAACAATTTTAATTAAGAATTATTTGAGTTAGCTTAAGGATCAAACATATATTAGCAAAATATTGTTAATCATACTTGGTGCGAAATATTACTCAAAATGTTTCCTGTATATCATGGCCTCCAGGTTAGCTTTAGATCATAGGTTCACCGCTCTACTCTTTTTTGCATAGGAGTTCCTGCAGTATACTGACTCAGCAGTAGTAGTTATGTAGCTCAGCACATCAGAGGCCCCTCGGATCCTGAGGGTCTGTTAGGGGTCAGGGTTCAGATCCGCATCCATGAGCCATGTCAGCATTGACCTTTCAAACCATGCATGCCATATCCATCCGCTTCCAGTGCTTACATTCGCTGTATCTCTAATCGAGTCTCAAATGGCACCCTAATCTCTATACTCCGTAGGGATACTGGACTGCTACATTTAAGACGCCTTACAAGGGTGTGTGGGCCCTGTGCCTGTGCTGTGTTTAATGATGTTTACTCAAATAGAGCACAGGGTGCTTTTTGAGACTAGACCTCTGTCTATCTCTTCTTACCGCCATACAGCTTTGATACTCTGATATCAACAACAAATAATTGTATTATTAGTAAATAAATATTCTATTCTAAAGGTGCCACTGTGCAGAGGATGACAAAACTCTGTCACATATTATAGTTATTAATCTATTAACGGGGGGTTTGATTGATGGGAGCAGAGTTGGGAAGTTGGGGTCGTAGTCTTTGTAATATTATATTATTCTAGTTTAATTTTCTACTTTGATGTGGTTTGTGAGATTGTGTTGTTTTGATCACATCTGAAGCCTCTGACAGGAGGAGCCGAAGAGACAGTGGAGCGCTCGGACGATCTCTGTTCAACGTTAACCTCACCTCACTGGTGCCAAAGGTCACGTTACAGTCTGTCAGCGGGACGCTCAAAACTGAAAGTGCAATACACACACTGACAAGCATTCAGAGTACTTAGGTTACTACACTTTTGAGGACCTAACGACCCAATACATTGCACTAGGTTACCTGTTACAGGGGACGATTGCAGAAAATAATGCAATCCAGTAAAGCAGCCTGTGAAAACACAATACTTTTATCAAGCTTAGAATTATCAATTTTTGTTAGGAGGCAAAATAATAGAAACAGTTTACAATGTAAGGCAATATGATACAACTCAACCACAGCCTCAAAAAAAAAAAAAAAAAAAAGATTTGAAACAGCCCCTTTTTTTTATTTACATTTTAGACTTCACAGAAGTAATGTTTTTGCAGGACTGCCATAATGGATTGTATTACATTGTACCCCTGTGTATTCTTCACCACTTAAAGCTAGGCAGCTTCATTAACTGCCACAATATCCTGATCAACAATACCAAATAATAAAGTATAATTGGAAATGAGATAATGCACCTTAACACATGGTTAAACATGTTATTACATCTTACCTTCTTCCTTTTCACTGTGACTCCAGAAACAAGTCCTCTTTCCTGGTCCTCTGTTGGCACTTTCAAATTAAAACGTTAAAACACATCAAGGCAATTTGATGCTCCAAAGGAAGCCGTGAGCACACATTCATGTTGTGATTAAATAATGATATCACAACCAACATGAATTTGAAATTTAGCAAATTAAGACCATATTTTCTATTTATAAATTGCTAAAACAAAAAGCCAAAAAAAAAAAAGCATTGTGTGGGATATAGGTCCTCATGAGTATAGAAACACAAGACCACAACACATAGTAATGCACACACTCATTAATAGTCACAAACATATACACAGACATTCATTTAGGCACAGAAAAAAACACACAGCTTCAGCTTTGCCCAGTGCGGTGTAGGGATAAGTGTGTCCTGTTAAAAGAAAAATCACTGTGTCATGTTTGGAAAAATCATTATAAGTGTTTCTTTGAGAGAAAAACAACAAACTGTTTCTGTCGCTGATGTGTCGCTCCTCACTGGAACTTCAAGTACACTGAGCCAGCTAATCGAACACGGAGGACCAGAAGAACTGTTTGAGAAATGTGAATTTACTGGAATAGTTCTGAGACAAACACGCTATAAGCACTCTACACTTTGCACTCGCTACCAACACACACACACACAAATACACACACACACACACACACACACAGATACAAAAACCCATACAAGGTTACTGTGTGAGGAGGGCTTACAGGTGGAGTTATGTGCCTGCATGTTTGTGTGTGTGTTAATATTCACGTGTGTGTGTGTGTGTGTGTGTGTGTGTGTGTGTGTGCGCGTGCGTGTGCGTGTGCAGTTAGCCTCTCCTCACCCATGCACCCAGTGCCTGCCTGTCCTGCCTTCAGACAGCTCCCAGATCAGCCATGGGGCTTCCAGTATAACCTCCTCTGCATTCCCACGACCTTTAACGGTTGCACTGGGATCAGTTTTAGAGCTAACTGCCCCGATCATTCCTCAGCAGACGCAGCCATACAAAATATAAGGACTGTTTTGGAGTCAGCGGTTTCCGGTGGGTATTGTGTATTATACTGACTAAATATGATAATGAGTCTACGTTACAAGGCTAAGAGGGAAATCATTTTTTTATTTACATGGTCTGACAGGACTATTGGACTTTTATTTTGACACACATGCTGGGCAGATCTGACGTTTCTGCCTGTGAGGCTGATTTAGGATCGGCAGAGGGGGCTTAGCAGGATAGACAATAATCTATCGAATCCCTAATGACAGCTGGTCTTGAATCAGCACAGCCTGGTGTAGCCTGCTGTTCCTTGTGTTCTTAAACCTCCCCCAGATCAGACAGGAAAAGGGGGGAAATCTTCTAGCTCGATCTGCAAGACTCACTTATTAAACCATTGTGTTGCTTGAGATTATGTTTATATGAGGTTTTACATGACAGTGTTTCCTCTTTAAGATGACGTGAGAGGTCGCCCCCACTAGGGTTAAAACATCTGTTGTTCCTGTTCCTGTTCTGTTGTGGGACTGTATACCGAGAATCCTTGGTTTTCAGTGCAAGTTCAAACAACAGAAGCTATAGTTAAAATAGTAGCCACAAGAATCATTCAGGCCTTGGTGCCTATATTAAGCCCGTTTTCCAGACTACCCTCTTCCTTAATAATTTCCAGTTGTATTGTGGAAACCTGTAGCCCTTTAGCTAGAGAGGTTTTGTACCTGTCTTGCGTCTTACATATATTATTTTGACAGGAAGTACACAGTGATTCAAATTTGCCTCAAGTCCAGTGTTCAGGCAGTGTTGTTTACATGCAGAACATATCTGAGGCTGGCATGGTTGACTGACCAAGGAGGAAAGGCCCAAAATGGCAGGATGTTGTACCAGGCCTTGAGAGTTTCGCTCTGCACCAGGTGTATTCAGGCTCCCTCTTACATAAAATGCTTATGAGCAGTAGCAGCAGTACATGTTAAAGGTTTCGTCTTCATGAACAAGTGTTTTGGAGTTATGAATGAAAACATGAGTTGGTCTAATAGAAAAGGTTATCACATTCTTGTTGAATTCAGTTTTCATTGATAGATCCCCAATAGAGTTACACTAGATCTAATCCCTGAAATGTACATGTGATATACATCTATTGGATTACTATTGAGATTTTTGTATCATCTGAGAAAGCCATGCCCCAAAGAGACTAAATTGCCCATCACATAATTTCTACTGAGCCATGTTGTAATGGTTAGAGTCAGGCTACCAGGCATAGAGACCAGCATAGAGTTTTTAGCCATGCTAGTAGCATGGCTCTGTGGAAGTGTTGGATTTTCATCTAGCGCCATCAGGTCAAATATTCTATTTGCCCAATACTTGGATCCTTTTCCGTGTTTAATGCTAATTAGTAAATGTTATCACACTAACATGCTAAACTGCTAAACATCCACGTTAGCACTGTCGTTGTGCTAGCATGGCTTTTAAACTCTTAGTCTTGGTTTTTAAAGTAGAATATGACGAAAAATCTAATTTTAAGTGGTAAATGACTGTAACCTGACTTTGTCCATTTCAAACTGACCTGAGGACTGTTAGAAAACAAACACCAGAACACAGACTCAGGAGAGGAGATGTAGAAGTTAGTGACATTTTAACTTTTTTATGTATTTCTTAGTTGATTGGAGTTTGCATTGATGCAGTGTACAGTAACACAGAGTCCCTTCAGAGTAAAAGATCCAGAATATCAGTAAATGCAAAGTTTTTATTATTATTGTGTTTATTATACGTGTAGTAGTGGCAAAAAGCAAAACATTTTGTTTTCAGGGAGTGTATCTTGCAGGCATTGTAGCAGTTTGTTTTGAGGTGAAACTATTCTGATGGAGATGAGGAGAGTAAACAGAAACCAGCCGTTACTTTGCGGTGAAAGTGAAAAGCGAAAGCCTAAAGACAAATGTGCAGCTGGAACCTGACGTGACATTCATAAATGAAATCCCCCAAAAATGTGGGTTGACCATAGTTTTTAAAACACCTAAAAGCGTGATGAAAGGTGAAAGATGAAATATGTGTCAATGGGCAGCTTTTTATTCTGCTCCATACCTCTGAGCCCTATCATGAGATACTTAGTCCTTGACAACACACACACACACACACACACACACACACACACACACACACACACATACATGCATGCAGAAACATGCTGGCACTCACATTTGTCTTTCTATACACAGGCACACTGACTGTATAACTCTCACAGCTCACATACACACACACACACACACACACACACACACACACACACACACACACGTAGCTGCCAGCCAGTTTCACTGTATACTTTATAATGTAAACCTCCAACTAACAGCGGTCTGACACGGACACATGCTGTGAATAAAAGCACACTTTTACTTACATGATATAAATATGATTACCTATATCTAGAGAGAAAGAATATTATATACAGTATAATAATTAGAAAATAAAGAGTCACCTTTTCAAAGTGCCTGTGGTGAGTTCATTTTGTATTTGAATGTGTGTATGTGAATGTATGATGTGTAGCTGTGTGATCTTACATCCTGCACACACACACACACACACACACACACACACACACACACACACACACACACACAGATAACCCCGTAGTCTGGTGGTCTTCCTAGAAAATTAACACTATCTAATCTTTATTGGAAACCTCACCACACCCCAACATAAACCTGCACAATATTGATGAGAAAATGTACACATACGCACACTCCTCCCTCAACCTGCACACAAACACACAGACGCACTAGATGTGTATCAGCTGTACTGTGTCAACTGTTCTGATTTAGCTGTCCGATAGATAACTCCTCTGCTTATCTCCACAGCCACCTCACAGATGTCTGAATGAGGGAAAGGAAGAGGGCGGGAGGAAGATGAGTTAAAAGGGGAAATGGGAAGGAGAAAGAAAAAAGTTAATGAGGAGACTGGAGGACGTGCCAGCTTTGAGGTGTTTGAAGGAGATAGAGAGAGTGTGTGTGACAGTATGCGTGTGGGGGGGAGTGTGCATGTACATACAAATGAGTATGTCTGTTTATGGTTGAAATATATGGGTGTAGGTGGCTCTCCATCTATTTATTTGTCACTTTTTCTGATCAGATTGTGATTGAAAATGATTCATTTGATAGTATTCCTGTATCCCTGTGAGAGTCCTGTGTCAACCATGTAAACTGTTTATCCATGTGCCACATCAGGTGGTCTCCCTCCGTTCACAGATTGTGTTGCAGGAGCCACTGATCAAATGATTTTGAGACATTATTGGCGCAACTCACCATCAGCATACAGAACCTTAAGTAGGCATCATCTAAAGCAGTGGTTTCCAACCTGGGAACCCCAACAAGGGATCGCAAGATGAATCTAAAGGGTTACAAGCCGATCATCCAGGTGGAAAATAAAAAAGAAACCTAAGTTTGTATACAGAAAAACACATTTTCCAATATGTGCTTCTTTATGTGAATTACTGTACAGTTTTATCTTTTCAGGCCTTCATTATTATTAAAATTAAACAATATGAGAATTTTTCAAACCGCTGCTCATAAATTATACATGCATCCTGTGATGTGTTGTTTTAAGGGGTCACAAACAAAAAAGGTTGGGAACCACTGATATAAAGCTCAAGCTGGACTACACTGAGTTTGAATTCCTTCCAGGGACAGGATACAACTGGTCCAGTTCAAAACTCTGGCGCAAGTCTACAAGAAGGTTACTGTTCCTTCCTACGTCTAAGCCATGGTCGAACATTGTATTCTGGCAGGACAGCAGAGACCCCGCCCATTGTCAGACTGAAAGCAGACCTACACCTCGACATCCCATCCTAAAGGTGTCAGTATGTTTCAACCAACCAAGTACTTGTTGGATGGTCAAATAGCGTCTGACTTCCCCTGTCCCTACACCTTTTTGACATGGAAAGAACTGCATCTGACAAAACTGACAATCTGACAAGCACGACCACTTCATACAGCAATTCGACATGTGTGAGGATGTGAGAAAGTATACGGTTTGGACTTCTCTCTCTCTGAAGCTCTCTATTTTCATACTTCACACTATTAACTTCTGTCACTTTTCATATGCACAGACAAGTGCAACACTAACTGCCTTTGAGAAAAGATTCAGTCCAGGTCCAGTGTGTGGGATTTAGTAGGTCACTTTAGTTTAAGCTTAGTTTTAGTTAGTAGTGAAAACTACTGTGGTTGCAAAACACATGAAAAACGCAAACACCCCTATCTAGAGCCAGTGTTTGGTTTTTCTGTCCTGGGCTTCTATAGAAACATGGCAGTTCAACTTGGCTGACTCCATGGAAGGCGACCCACGGCGTCTTTAGATATAAACAGCTCCATGGTAACGAAAACACAAGGATTGAAAAATTCAGGTGATTATACAATAATGAAAACATACCTATGAATATTGTATTCCTCCTAAATGTTACACACTGGACCTTTAAAGTATACTTTTGCCTTCAGACGTGGTAGGACAGCACGTCGTACAAGTTCTCATAACCCGGCCCTAAACTAAACCTCTACATCCCATGCTAAAGTCAGCATCAGTATGCTACAACTGAAGTGCAGATGGTCGAACAGCATCTGAAACTCCACCCGCCATACCTTTTCAATGTCAGAAATTGCAGGGGGGGCTTCATCTGACAACTTTCTGAAACCAACCACCTGACAAGCAGGCCGGTTGTTCATCCCTGAGTGCAGTTACACTTCCAGATCAAAAGGACAAGAATTAAGAGAAATGGTCTCTAATATTATACTATGTGTTTTGATGTTTGATGCTTTTCTGAATTTGGAGTGATTTTACTTTGTGGTTAAATGTTGTATATGTTGCCCAATTTGCTATTGTATGTTATCAGAATATAATGTAACAGCAAGACCACAACAGCAAGTAATGTGAGAAGGAAGGATTCGGTGGAGAGCTCAGATTCACCTGATGAATATTCATAACTGTGACGTCACCGATGGAGCTCCGCGCTGTCGTCATAGAGATTAGAGTGGATGACGGGATTATGAGAGACTCTCCGCCACACTGGGATTGGCTGCCACTCTGCTTTTGTTCCTCCTAACTGCCTTCATATGTGCCATTTTGTCACTCAATCTCTCCTGCCGCTCATCTCCTCTGTTGCAGATATTATAACCATTGCACACGTTTCATTTTTCCAGTTTCCTTTCTCCCCTTTTCACCCTGGCTCACTTTTTTCTTCTCCGTGATCCTCTTAGTCATTTTCCCCTCTGCCACATTTTTTGTGTTTTGAAACCCCACCCTTCCATCGAGCAGTACGGTTCTGTAGTAATTGCTTTCTTCAGCTCCATTGGCCCAATAAGAGAAAATGGCCCCTTATGCTAATAGGCCATAAAAGACACTGAGCATTTCCCAGCAGGAATCCCACATCAGATTATTTTATAGTGCTGTACCAGACAGTAATGTCTTACCTCTATGTGCTTTAAAAATAAAACAGGAATTTGTGCAAAAGATGATTTGTTCTGAAAACTGAAGGTCATTGCAGTGACTTTATAGTTTATTTGGCACAAAATATCAAAAACGTTTTTATTTTCAGCCTCAAAGACACACACACACACACACACACACACACACACACACACACACACACACACACATCATCTGGCAATGTGACATAGAGTTGTGATATTATACGAGGCAAGCTCCTAATGTTACCCACAAATACAAGTGTCAGTGTGTGTCTGTGTGTGTTTGTGTCCCAGTTGAATGTTGCTATAACAGCTGTTTGTGACAGAATGAGGCTCTGAGGGAGAGTTACTAGCAGCTTTGATGTCCTAATTATCCATCCATCTATCTATCTATCTATCTATCTATCTATCTATCTATCTATCTATCTATCTATCTATCTATCTATCTATCTATCTATCTATCTATCTATCTATCATATCTGAGTACACCTGCTCTGCAAAATCAGCTGGCATTGTTTTTTGCAGGTTTCCCCATCCACCAATGTGCGTGTGCATGTGTGTGTGCGTCTGCAATCACCAGAGACAACATGTAGCAAACACCTTGATGTCTGTGTTCATGTGCTTCTTTTGTTTTACAGGGTTTTGCTGCACATTGATGAAAGCATGTGTGCATGTGTATTTCCTTGTATGTTTATGTGTATGTGGGTTTGTGTTATAACATCAGTGCACCTGAACATGAAACACTTTTGTTGTTTGAGATCAAATTTACTACCCTCATTTTCATTCACCAGACACAATCAATTATATTTTACATTAGTGTATATAGCCACTAACACTTAAATTACATAAATGTTATGGACATTTAACATGTTGGCATCAAGTTTTTAAAAAAGACCAGAATTGTTTCTTACATGGCTCACAGCATGCATGTTTTCTTTATTATATTATACATATTATACTGTCAATGCACAGAAGTTTACTTTGAAAATCCCATGTATCAATGCCCACCCAGCTGCTTATAGGGTAATACAATACTACAGCAACACTAGTGTTTTTGTGAGGTCAGGTTTAGTGCTGAGCTAAATGCTAACTATGTGCTCACTATGACAGTGATAGCATGCTGATGTTAAGCAGGTATAATGCCATATTCACCATCTTAGTTTAGTGTGTTAGCATGCAAACATTTGCTAATTAGGACGGAACACAAAGTACAGCTGAGGCTGATGAATGTCATCAGTTCTGCAGGTATTTGGTCATAAACCACAAAGTTGCCTATTGAACAAATTAAAGTGTCGACCTCATTGTGGTGAAAAGTCAAAGAAACACCAAAGCAGTGGTATACAGCTCATCGGGAGCACTGGGACATTTCATACGTCAGTCTCAGTCTCTTCTGATTCATCGTGCTGCTAAAGATTTTGGAATGACAACATTTCCTAATTCCTTTTGCTCTCTAATGCTGCGCCTTCATATGTCAGAATTGTTGCGGACAGGAAATGAGGCACAGATAGATATTGTGATATTGTGAGATATTGTGTGTGTAGTGATTATTTTGTAGTGATTTCATCAAAACCTTATTTATCACTCTATTCACTGATACCTCTCATTCTTATTTAATCTTATTTAATTTCATAGAGCATATTATGTTTTAATATATATATTTAATTGAAAGACATATTATTATTCTTTTCAGCAATTTTATACAACATCCTTAAATCTGTGGAATCTTTTTTGCAAAGAAATAAGTTTGATTCAAATAGTACCTCTTTCTTCCCTTGTATTGAGCACACCATTTTAGGTGGATGTAGCAAACACCCAGTTTAAAACCCTCCCCTGCCTGGCTCCTACCTATTAGTACTTACACACTGGTCAGTAGAAGTTTCATCTATATGTTGGCACTGACATTATTTCCTAAGTGATTTAGAGTGCTTTACACTACATGTCACATTGACCCATTCACACACAGTTGTACACTGATGGCAGAGTCTGCCATGCAAGGTACCAACTGCTCATCAGAATCTCACTTATACCATTCACACACACTCACACATTGATGGCACCCCGGGAGCAATTAAGGGTTCAGTATCTTGCCCAAGGACACTTCAACATGCAGACTGGATGAGCCAGGGATAGAACCGCGAACCATCTGATTAGTGAAAAAACCTCCTGAAGAAACCTCCACGAATGTGTACCACAGAGGAATTGGGAGTTTGGGTGGTCATTTAGGCGACAGCCTGTGAGGAAGCCGACATTTCAGGCCAGGTAGGGGTCTCTTATTTTAGGTATCAATATCTTCCAGGTGGATACCCTTGAAGCAGATGCTGCATTGGGCAACTTCCTGACTGCTTGATGTTTGTCAGGGTCAATTCTGTGCTATTTCATCCAGTAAATGTAGAGCAATGACGTCCGTAGAGCCCTGCCACCAGCACGGCTAAAAATCCACCAAAACGCTTTTCTTTCATTACATGACCTCAGTCTACTGTTGATGCCACACAGTCTGAACTTGAAGTCAAAAAGCATCAGATCAGTGCCAGACTTGGCTGACAAATCTTCAGCAAGTTCAGTTTTTGAGGACAAGAGACACTTCTGCTCTCCGAGAAGGGCAAACTGAGTGAAGAGCACTCTGAACCATTGTCACTGACAAAGAGAGCAATGTGTGTGTGTGTGTGTGTGTGTGTGTGTGTGTGTGTGTGTGTGTGTGTGTGTGTGTGTGTGTGGGTGGGTGTGCATGCGCTGTGTGGAGTAACACTATGGCCATCTGCAGTGTGAAAAAAAGCCTTGGAGCTGTGAACGCTGCTCAAGCAGAAAGACAAGAAGGAGAGAGAGTAAGGTGGAGAGGAGGATGAGAGAATGAATGAGATAATGAAATCAAATATTTGGACATTTCTATGTATGAAGCTGTGTCTAACTCTCATTAGTATTCCTTTAGTCACACAGTCCACCAATCAACAAGTTCACCAGTGGCCAGCCAGTCACAGACAATAACAGCAATATGTCCCAGTAAACTTCACTTCAGCATGTAAACACACCGTTATTACAGATATGCATTATTAAACATGAGCCCATACAGTGTTGGAAGACCATTTCTGTCAGAAAGTCAAAATTAGAAGATAAAAAGTCAGAACTTTTTTTCTCGTAGTTTTTAATTAGCGGGTCCAACTTTTGACTGATTATGTCGTAACTCTGACTTCCAATCTCACAATTATGATTTACTATTTAGTAGTAGTATTTATTTAATTTTGTCTACTCTTTCTTTTTGTGGCAGAAACACAAACACTATAACATACTCCCATTTAAACACATCGTTAGCCATCCAGAATTCACCCCCCCACACACACACACACACACACACACACACACACACACACACATAAAGCCGGGGATATAATTGTTTCCAAGCAGCTCTTTGATGGCTGAGTCACTGAACATGTCCTCTATCATATCACGATAAGAAGAACATCAGTTTAAAGGCAGCAGCTGTTTCCCTTTCATCCTCTCTCCCTCTCTCTCCTTCTGCATCTCTCCATCCTCCCACTGCTTTCACAATGGTGTGCTAAGCCAGGGAAGATAGGGCAAATCCCTCCTCTGAGCAGGCAGGAGAGAGAGAGAGAGAGAGAGAGAGAGAGAGAGAGAGAGAGAGAGAGAGAGAGAGAAAGCAAGAGACCGAGGAGCTGAGGAGAGAGAAGACTGAGTGCAAAACACTTCCTCATACACTCCTCTCTCATCTCTGCTTTCTCTACCTCCATTTATCTGAATCCAACCGATCCAGCTTCCCTCAATGTGTGTGTGTGACTGTGTGTGCATGTGTGTGTACATGTGTGTGTCATCACCAACCTGCCGTGATGATGTCAGAGCTTCCTAAGCTACTTTCTTGCTGGTCTTGTTTCTTCACCTCTTGTCTCCATCCCTGAGACATGAGCCTGTGGTAAGCTAGTTTAGCTTAAATCAATTTTTTGTCTGATGTGAATAAACGTTTCATTTATTAAAATCTTATCTTATTTGCTCTTTGGCAGAGTTAGATGACAAGAATGATACCGCTCTCATGTCTGTACAGTAAATATAAAGCTAGAGCCAGCAGGTAGCTTAGCTTAGCATAAAGACTGGAAACAGCTTGGCTCAGTCCCAAGGTAAGTCCATTTACCAGCTCCTCTAAAGCTCATTAAATAAATAAATAAATAAATAAATAATAAAATAAATGTATGTGTCCCACAATGCAAAGCACCGGTACGGTCAGGCCAATATCGTATGCTATTTCATCATTAAATTCACTTCTGATCATTTTTTAAGGCAACCCACGGTGTAGATTTTGAATACTGGCAGTTTAAAGAAAACTGATGTTAGATCAAAAATAACCTCCAATTTCAAAACTGAGAAGCTCCACAAGTGCCTGCAGGGGATGCCTAGCTAGCCAGCTGGCCAGTGATGCTCACAGACTCCTCTTTCCATACAGTCACACAGACCACTACAACCACTACAGCAGATGACTTCAGCAGCAATGGCGGAGTAGGGACAGGCCCACAGCTGTAATTTTTTACTTCGTTACATTTTTGACCAGACAATGAGCTTGAACTCATGTTACACTGCAGACAAAGTGCTGGTGAATGTAGTTCCTTCTAATTATTATTATAATTGTTCAGTCCCCATCCCTCAGGTAAATGTTCATCTTTGGGAAAATCATTAAAATTCACATTGATAACGCCATTTGCTATTGTCTACTTCCACTTTCCAAAACCAGAAACCAGCTGACCTTGGTCTAGCATACTGCAAATTAAATTGATGATCATTTTCATACTGCATATTGTGAAAAGTTTGTCGGTAGTATGTAGTTGGCGGTTTTGAAATCAGCTCTGGTTGGGAGCACCAATGTGTTGGTTGTCTGGCAACAGCAAAGCTAACTGGCTGCTGGCTGTAGCTTCATATTTTTATATATTATATATATATATATATATATATATATATATATTGAGAGTGGTAGGCCTATTGATTGTCTCATCCAACTTGGCAAGAAAGCGAATGAACGCATTTCCCAAACTGTCAAATTATTTCTTTAAGGACAGTTCTAGAGGCAGGCAGCCCAAATGAAATTAAATCAAATGAAATTAAGCCCAACTAATGGGTTTTTTAAAATGGATTTGCAATATTAGTTTACATGGTTATACATGGATATGTAGCCTAATCACACACACTGCATGTAATGCAAAATTTCAAAGGCATCCTCGTTCTCTGTAGAACCTGGTTGGAGAGGAGAGGTTAGCATATAGTCTGTGCTGTACAGTCAGATAATAACGCAGGGCATTGTTTCAGTCAAGGACAAATAAGCATGTTTTTCCATAGCTATGGGACCAAACCTGTCAAAATATGAAGCTTTCAGACTGACACTGCAGTACAGTTCAACTAACACACACACCAGCATCATAAGTGGTGCTTTATCTCCCTCTAGTGGATCATTGAGGCTTCACAAGCAACAGAACTGCAGTCAAAATTTTGTTGAAAATTCTGGGCATTTTGTAATTAATTTGTAATTTGTGATTTAAAAATGTTTCTTCTGTGGTCCTGACTCTCAGAGAGCTTGGTTTTCTTTGGAGTGTGACTCCCCCATCCCCCTGGGACTACAACGTAGTTAAAACAATATATATCATCACGTCAAATCTCCAACAGAAGAACTGGACAAGTGAAATGGGTTATTTAATCTTTATCGGGTGTAAATCTGGTTTTCTTTGAGCCAGCCAGCCTGTGGTCCCCTGAGCCCAAACAGGTGCACTGCACTGAGCTTGGAGGCAAGATGCTGCCTTCAGGTGTAGGGGGAAAATCTAAACTCTAAATTTGATTCTTATGTACAGGCCTACAGGCCTGAAAATAGACAATTGGAGTTTTTAGGCATTATCACAAAGGTGCATGTAGGTGGTTGTGTATATGTCGACTCTTTTTTCCTCTTAAGTTTTGTTTTCCTCTTCCTCTAGTCTTTTTCTAGAAAAATTTCAATTGCACGGAGCTTTTTTCCCCCTTTTCCTCCTTCCTTCCTACTTATATCCGCCCAGACGCACTCTCTAATAATAATAACAGTAATAATATGATATACGTTTACAAAGCTTTTGCAAAGAATAAAATATAAATTAAATATGAAAACAATAACAAAAACGCCTGATTAAAAAAAAAAAAAAAAAAAATCTTAAAGCGCATGCATTTAAAAGCAATGAGACCTTTTCAATACACATACAATCACTCTAAATCGATATAGGACTTAATGACGGACAGGTGCGTTTGCGGTAATAACTTAAGACACTCGGAAGTTGGAGCGTGCGGGGATCACGTGAACGCACCATCAGATTGTGCGTGCGTGCGTTGTGCTGACGAGCCGTTGCTTGTGGAAACAGCTGGTGGTTTCTGTCAGCGGACACTTCGGCTTCACAGCAGCTTTGGCAGGAATAAAAGTTCAATTTAGACTCGAAACTGAGCGAGTGCGCTTTCATTTGAGTCTCCGCTGCTGTTCCAGCAGACGCCAGGAAATGTCATCCTGTGAACGCCACTTTATCAGGCAGTTGTTAATTAACGAGCTAGCTTGATAGACCGACTGACGCTCGACGCAGCCGGCTGCTAACGCCAGCTAGCTAGCTAACTTTGTACTCCCCTAGCAACTACCACGATACTGCTTCTCTATCATCGCGGAAAAAAGTGTCAGCTGTCGGTTTTCTGACAGTGTAGGAAGGGGCTTTTTTTTTTTTTTTTTGCTTAATTTCAGCATGACTCATGTTCACTATAAATTCTCCTCTAAACTCAGCTACGACACGGTGGTTTTTGACGGCCCGCACGTCACGCTGAGGGATCTGAAGAGGCAGATCATGGGCAGGGAGAAGCTCAGGTCCGGGGACTGCGACCTGCAAATCACAAGCGCACAAACCAAAGAAGGTAAATATTGAGACATGTATGTAACAGATAACTGTGTGTTTGTCTTGACTGGCTGAACTTTTGAAGAAAAACACGTGGTCCAGGTCTGACAGCTGTCCGGTGAGAGGGTTGCGTCACCTCGATCAGCCTGACGGGGGGGGTCCAGAAAAGTCAAGCACTGACAAAAGGGGCTCCTAATGAATGGGCCATATTGCTGCTGCACGCCCGCCTCATGCCCTTCATTAAACGGCCTGATGGTGGAGGATCAGCCCCGCCATTGGTATGCATGTAAAAGTCCCACAACGTGAGATGTGGGATAAAAATAGGTAGGGTAGGAGCACCGCATAGCCATGACCATAAGACTGAAGTCCGGTCTCTCACACACACATAAATGAAAATCATCAATATAGGGGTCATTAGTGATGGGAATTAACTGCAATGTAGGTCACTGTATTAAAAGATGGAAAAAGAGTGACATGCAGATCAATCATGATAATCACCCATGAATTACAAGAATTACCTTAGAGTGTGTCAATATCCTGCAGATCGGATCTAACAACCCTGAAGAACTTAACATAGTGTGAGGGGCTGAGGGAGTCACACAGGCTGACATCAAACAGTGCTGTGTCATTCACTATTCAGTACTTAGATATCTAAAGAAATGTTACACTGTTGAGGGAGAGTTTACCTGGCTGGGAAGTTAATATTAAGTCCTTTTGGTCTTGTTTTTATGAATTTTGTATCCGTTCAGAAATTATCTATGGGACATTTCATTGATCGGTTTAATTTAGCAGATTCATCTAGAGCTCAATCAATTCTTTGTCAATTAATTAATTTGTCAACATCATTCAACAGAAACTTAATCAGCAACTATTTTCATCATCACTGAATGGTTTTAGTATTTTCTTTTTAACCAAAAATATCAATAATTCACTGGATCCAGCCTCTCAGGGTTGAATGTTTGCTGGCTTTTTAAGCCTTCTAGGATAGTAAACTTAGTATCTTTGGATTTCTTTCAGTATTTTATGACATTTAAAAGACTAAACAGTTAATTGATGAATCATGAAAATAATCGTAGATGGTATAAATACTGTTATAGTCTCAGACTAGTTATTTAAGTACTGTACCAAAGAAACAATCTCATGTTAATGTGTCAGCAAAGGGAGCATGATTTCTCAAAAAGCCTGAAAATGACAGATTTTCGTATGATGGGAAATATTCACTTGGGTTCCAAAAATAAAATAAAAATAAATCCTAACCCAGATCATTTTGTGTGAGCTAATCCTCACACATTAAACCCCCACTCTCCCCATCTCTCCCTCTCAGAGTACACAGATGATGAAGGTATGATCCCCAAAGGCTCCTCTGTCATCGTCAGGAGAATCCCCATCATCGGAGTCAAGTCCACCTCAAACAAGACCCGCAACATGTAAGTATATTGTTTTGGGTTTTTAGGGGTTTTCATATTGTAGCTGAATTCCTGTACTGTTATTAGTGTATCTCTGCCTACAAGAGCCACCAGCTGGCACCTACTAGTCTACCTTTAGTGTTGTAATGCCACACTTAGAGGACTCCATCAAGAAACAGTTCTTTGGTCCAAAATGTTATATCTTAATTTTGTCAGTGTCAACCACCTTCATCACATCACATGGACACTACTTGACAATGAATTTAGATGAATACATCTTATTAGTATAAAACACAGGGTGCAGGTTAATATATAAGGGCCTAGTTGTTTTTGCTTGTTGGAGCAGCAGCATGAGGACCATAATGGTGAAGAAAACAATGAAAACAATGCTAAACATCATCATGAATCCATACCAGAGGCATGTTACTTAATCCTTCAGATGATGGTCGACCGTTGATTGATCAGGGTTTTTTTTGCATAACATTTCCATTATAAAAATGTGCTCACAGGAAAAGAAGAGAGAGTAGAACTGTAACTCCATGGTGACGTTCACAGGGATTACCCAGATATTAGTCAGGCTTAGACAGGACAGCCAGCAGTGGGGTGGGTTTTATGCATGGAAAGCAGGAAAAGACCTCACTGGAACAGACCGGCGGTCATGTGATTAGCCCCGTCAGCACCATGCAGACGGGTGGAGAGGCTAAAGAGTGGTGTAACGCTGCCCACAAGATTAAATGCAACAAACTAACTCCCCACTTGCACAAGCAGACAGACGGTCCCTCAGCTTCAAAGTGCTTCCAAGTACCCCTTAACTCGGAGTCATTTTAAAGCCTTACATTCACATTTTACATTAAACCTAAAACCTAATTTTAAACTCAACCAGAGGAATAATTGACTGTAAATATATTTTACTAATGCTGTTAGAAATAGTTGTGGGTGAATGTAACTGGCATTTATGTTTTTTTTTTTTTTTTTTAGTGATGTGTTTGTCATATTGTATGGTTAACTAGGCCAGATGTTGAGGTTTTTATGTTAAAATGAAGGGCAAAACACAAACAAACATCAAGGTCAGAATCAAAGAGTCAGAGGTTCTTCCTAGAGTCACAATTTCCAGCACTAAGCAGACATGGTGTTAAATCTATCATAGAAAGAACAGCCAAAGTAATATCATTTTCCATATTAACTACAGATTGGACAAGAAAAATAAGAAAAATATTTGATACACTTTGACAAATCACAAGCATCTATTTAATGTTGTGCTTTTACTTAAGCTAAAGAATATCCATTATCAAGCTGACTTTACTCTTCTGAAATACACACCTACTCACTGCTGAGGTTCATATCTTCTGTAGGGGCACTCTGGGTAATGCAGGGAATCACCAACTGAAATGGGAATAGATGAGGCAGATTTGGGGTAACATAGTTACACAAAAATAATACAGCCTCATATTTTAAGATCTGATGCTGACATCCAGAGCCAGAGCAACAAGGTGGAACACCGCAACAGGGCTTCTTTTCATTAAATGTGTGATTCACTTTTAAGACTGTTTTGACATTTATATTTTATACTTTTGTTACTGTGAAGTGGGGCCAATAAAATGTCATCTTGGATAAACATAAATGCTGGTAATTTCTGCTCTAATCTGAGTGACTGGGTTAAAACTGGTTTGTTGTTTTGTTTCAGTGAGCGATCAGACGCCCAGTTTCACCACGCCTTTGGAGCCATCAAAGCAGTACGTAACCAAACCAAATCCCACTGCACTTCTTCTCCTGCAGCTCCACTAAACACACACACGTTGTTAACACAGCCTAATGTCTGTGCTTGGACATTAGTTGAATGTGTGCTTTGCTATGATTGGTTTAAAGTGAGACCACAATCTGAATCAGTGAAAGCCTCTATTTCCTCTATTGCAGTTTGAGTTCCTGTTGCAAAGAGGAAGTGGTACTCATTACTCAGTATTTGATTTACAAGGAGGTGATGCTCTCAGATAAACCATATTTTGCAATAATAGTAAATTAAAAAAAATTATTTAAAAAGTAGCATTTGCAGTTAGACTGTGTACAAGTTTACAATTCTACCAGTTCTGCATTATCCCTATAAGTCTGGGTAACAAACGTGTATATATTCTCTCTAATAAAAGCTCCCAGCTGTTGATTTAATAAGCTGCTGTGTCACCAGTCAGTGCTCATTGTTGAAAATCATTCAGTACCTATCTGTGGGCGGCGGGAGCTGCTCGGGCGGGTCAAACGTTATCATGCAGGCCAGCTATTCACAGCTGATAAACCCAACTGTTGCTTTATGGTGCCGGCAATGTCCACAGTCATGACTGACTGCTGTAGCACATGGCCACTGGCTTTCAGACATCTTATAGCATTTATAGCATTTATATTATTGGCCTCTTTCAAAAGCTGTGCAGTCTGTGCTGATGTAAGCCGTTAATTTACATCAAATGCAGTTTTTAATTTAGTTAATCATTCCCCAGATAAGTTCCACATTGGATCCGTCATTAAAAATGATTTAAGGAATCAAAATGAATAATTTAGCATCAGGATAATCTAAATCTACAGAATACTCTTGTGAAGGGAACAGCTGCTATTAACCACCAACTCTACAAATCCAGTCAAGAAATTAATGTGTTAGGAGAATTTTAAATAAAGGAATATAATGTCACCAGAGCCTCCCTTACTACAGAGATTATCAAAAAGGGCTGAATATACAGTGTTTTCGTTTTGATGTAGGAACAAAAAAAACACAGTGCCTCTCTTAAACTAACTGGTGCACCATTGTTCTTTTGCCCTGCATTCTTGTAGTGGCGTTTTGTTTATGATCCTGTAAACTAACTCAAACTCATCTCAAAAGCTTTTCCTTGCAATTAGTGTGCACTGACCTGACCTGATTTTGTCTCTGGTTTCTCAGTAGGAGTAAGTGTCTGCCACTCTTCTTAGTACTATGAGTCTGTTGGACTGCACATACTTTTTTTTCTTTTGTGTTTTTCTACCAATAAAGTCGTTTGTATGAAGCTGTCTTATGTATTGATTATGTGTTTGACTTCGCTGATACACAACCACAGTCGATACCTCAGAAAACACATTTTGGAGACATTGGTCAAATCTCATAATAGGACACATACTGGAATCATATTGGACATTGGACGAGCTCAAATAGGAACTCCAGAGATTTAATATTATTCTTTCCCAAAGTTGGAGATCTCAAAAAATAGATATTTAAAAAAGAGTAGTTAAAATAAAGCAGCTGACTTTTAGTCCCCAGTATGGGTTAAACGCCAGAAACACTGGATCCTACGTTTCCCACGTTGCAACATGATAGCTTTTTTTTCATTGGATTTGGCTGAGCTTTAATAAAGCCAGGCAGGATGATCTGTCCTGCTGCCGTGAACAATATAATCTAGTGCAGTCAGGAAGTTGTTTTTTGTTTGGCTCTGTACTCCAGCTCATTAGATTTTAAATGAAATGATGACGTTTTAAGTGTCAACTTTTAATCTTTATGATTTATGCATACATGTTAACATGTGAATATTTGGCTTTTCATAAGGTTTAATTTGTTTTTTAAAAAATGCATTTACTGAGTGAACATAAAGATCGAGAGCCACAATAATTGACCCAGACTGGCTGTGAAATAATGTAGTTATAAGTAAAATCTGTAAAATGGCTGTTTGAGGATTCTGTAACTTTGACACATCTGCTTCCGTGTTTGATCATACACGTAATGTATGTTCTGTTATTTGTGAATAATATTATTTAAAAAAAAGAAGACTAAAGAGTCGCTGAGGTTGTACTCATATAAATACTAATGTTTAGCAGGTATAATGTTTACCATGTTCACTATGTTAGTGTAACCTGGAAGCATGCTAGTATATGGTAATCAGCACTATTCACAGCTGAGGCTGATGGGAATGTGTTTGCAGGTATTTGGTCATAAACCAAAGTAAACCATAGTAATCATGATTCATCCAGAGGGGAGCATGAATGTCTGTACTACATCTCATGGCAATCCATTCAGTAATTGTTGAGATATTTCAGTGTGGACCAAACCAACAGCGCTGTCCATAGAGTACTGCATCTAGCAACCCAAGAACAGGTGCTCAGAACAAGAAAGAACCGAGGTGATAGGAGGCACTGAGGTAGACATTAGGTGACAAAGATGTTTTTTATCTAACAAAATGCTGACCTGAGCATTATGTTACTGGCTTCTTTATTTTCAGTTCGCAAGTTTGGAGGGATGAAAACTGAGAAGTGAGTTGGCAGGAGGTGCTGAGCCAGTAATCCTGGGATGAGAACAGACAGTTATTATCCACTCTGTATGAAAACCACTGGTGTAAATTGTATTACAGCTCAAAAGTTTATGAAATTGAACATTTGACGTGCAGCAGTTACTCCCACTTTGCAGTGGGACTGGAGTTAAAGCATCAAGTTTAGCAGGACAAATGTTCTTTCCTTTGAATGAAATGTGTATCTTGGCCAAGTGTGAACGTGGAGCTCTTAGTATTCTCCAAAGATATGTAACCTGGAGGCTCTCGTCGTTTCATCGGTGAAACTGATTTTATGTTTAATTCTAACAGATGGATGACCAGAATTCTTCCAGAGCCTTTTTCTCCAAGGTATACTCTCTTTTCTTTTCTTTATTATTCAGCTTATACGTATTTATCCTGGATCATGTGAGTCACTGATCCTCCTGCCATCTTTGTGTCTGTTGCTCACATACGTACATTCGTGTGTGTACATGCAGATGACCAACCTGGCTGATGCGGATGTGTCAGAGGAGGATAAGATCCAAGTTATGTTAAATCAGTCCACCGCCTACGACTCCATGAAGTGAGTCACTTCTGTAATGCTTTCAAATCTCCTTCATCCCCATTTCTGTCTCTGTGGTGCTCGTCTCCACCTGCTTTTCCCCTTTTTTTTCCCCCAAATTCTGTATCTCCATGTTCTGATGTCTCACCTTTTTCTCTCTTGGCTTGCGTTACTTTGCGCCCTTTTCATCTCACACTTATTCCTCGTCCTTCTGTTCCTCTTCCAATATTTTGTAAACTATTCTTTGTTTCATTTAGCTCCAGTCTCCCTGCATTTGTGTAATTTGCTTTCTTTATCTGTCTTTTTCTCTCTTAAGTTACAACAAGAAGTTTGGTGGTGTTCTTCCAGCAAACTACACCTGTTATCGCTGTGGAAATACTGGACACCACATCAGGAACTGTCCCACCAGTGGAGTAAGAGCAGAACATGTGAACTAGTTTCTGTTACAATCATGCACAAGAGAATGATTTTATTAGTGTGTGTCTTTTACATTTCTGCTAAGCCTAGCATTAAATGTCGAGGTTGTGTGCGTGTGTTGCAGGATAAAAATGTTGAGGCCCCTCTGAGAATAAAGAAAAGCACAGGCATCCCTCGTTCCTTCATGGTGGAGGTGGACGATCCCAACATAAAGGGAGCCATGCTGACTAACTGTGGACATTATGCGATTCCGGCCATACACGCGTAAGACAAAAGAGTCGATGTTTGTGTGTCTTTTGGGAAATACACTTACTCGCTTCTACTGCCGAGAGTAAGGCGAGAAGATCAATACCACTCTCATATCTGTCTTTAAATGTAAGGTTATGGCCAGCAGGCTGTTAGCTTAGCTTAGCACAAAGACCAGAAGGTAGGAAATCCAACAAAATGTTTAATTTTAGTCGATATTAATAATTATTGATAATTTTTAATGACCTATTTTAATAAAGACCGGGTGAAAAAAGGTTGAGTTTAAGGTAATAATTTGAATGTATATGTTTTGTTGTACGGTATTGTTGCTGAGTACCTTTCCATCGTGGACTGCCTGTGGATTGTTTCTTGAGATGTAACAGATGTGGCTCATAACTGACAGCTTGCTCCCAAGGGTGGAAGTGGTCTTTGTGATTCACTCATAGCACGCTGCATTATCAAAGGCTATGATAGGCTGTTTATGAGCTAGGGCGTATTCACAAAAGCAAAGGCAAAAAATATGAATCAAAAGGACCATATAAATCAAGTCAAAGGAAACTAGATTTGACCTACAGATACCTCTTGGATGATCTTTGTAGATATCCTCTGGCCGGGATAACTGAATCACAGGCACAATTAGCAAGACTGTTCATATGAAATGTGTGCTCATCAGCTGACAAAATGTCAAACGCCAACCATACCCTTTTAAAATGACTCTGGTTAAATAAAGGCATCCGCTAAACACATAAAAAGAGTGAACTATTGTCTGTCTGTAGTAAGGCGTACGCCATTGGCAAGAAGGAGAAGCCTCCCTTCGTTCCTCAGGAGCAGCCCAAGTCAGAAGACAAGGAGGATCCTGTACCTGACGAACTCCTCTGTCTGATCTGCCATGACCTGCTGAGTGACGCTGTGGTCATACCCTGCTGTGGAAACAGCTACTGCGACGACTGTGAGTGTCTGACACCCACACACACAGACACGCATCTAGATAAACATATGTATACTTAATGTACTGTAAAGAATTAGTCATTCTGTACCTGATGTACTTAACTGTGTTAGAAGTGCAGGAAGCAATGTGTCTGTCTCTGTTTTACTTGATAACTTCTGAAATTAAAGAACCATTGGGTTTAGCAGATTCTGAATCTTTAAAGTCGTCCTCCAGTCAAATATATATTATTCTTCTTGTTCCTACTGTGTGATGTTTGAGCTTCACTGTGCAGATTGATGTATGTGCACAGTTTGACACTAGAAGGATGTTTTCACATTCACCTGCTGAAAGTGGAAAGTGTCTCTGTGCTCAATGGAAATCAGATTTTAAGGGGCGGGGCCTACTAGCATGATTTGTGACATCACCAATAGTTTGGAAGTCAAATCTTATACAGTGTGATGTAGAAACCTGAATCCACCAGTGCACATACACTGGGAATGGACTTCACAGTGAAGTAGGAGACATCTTGTGTCCAACAGGAAAACTTTAGAAATGGAAAAACATTTTAATGAGTAAGAAGGAGTAGACGTCTTTTCAACGATTTTAATGTGAGTGTTAATGTGAGTTCCAAGCAAGTATTTATACGTATGTCTGGATATAATATTTTGATATTAATAAAAAATAATAGCTGCTAAAAACGTTCACACTGTTAATATTACCACATGTTCACTCACAGACATTAATTTATGTTGTCGTTATCATCAAAACGATTAACTAATAAAATGTGCTGTAGTCGCTCTTCAGTCTCATATTTACACGTTAACCGTCTTTATCTCTTGCTCAGGTATTCGCAACGCCCTGCTGGATTCAGAGGAACACGTCTGCCCCACTTGTAACCAGTCCGATGTCTCCCCTGATACCCTGATAGCCAATAAATTTCTCAGACAGGTGAATTGACAGACGAATGGAAAATGTATTGATGTTAGAATCGCGGGGGTTTGGAGAGCATTAATTAAAGCTTCCTGTCCGTCTTTTACTCCCAACACAGGCTGTGAACACTTTTAAGAAAGAGCGAGGCCAAGCTAACAGTCTGGGAGGAAGGTGTGGTACCTCCCAATCCCAAAATCCAACCCTGATTCCGAGCCCTGTCCCCACCCCGCCACCTATTCAGAGCCAACCACCGAAGCCTTACCAGTCAAGCCACAGCCAGCAGGTGAGCCTCATAATGATGTGTTTCATCTAGCACTGTACCTGCGTGACTCAGGAGCACACAGAATAATTACTGTTTTATTTTCACAGTCAGATTTTTGTCAGAGGGATAGTCTTCTAAAAAAGCCATTGAAACAATTGTTGGAAACCACAATTTACTGCATATTTAAACTAACAGGAAATATGCATGTATTTGGTCATTTATATTGTCTTGTGTAGATAGTCTTTGTAATTGTTTAGTATTATGCAAGTGACATTTTTCTCTAGCTTGCCCGTATTACTGATCCCTGCTATATTCTCTTGCTGCCTCCCCTCTTTAGGACCCTCTCCTGTACTGCTCACAGGTTGCAGACACCCCACCATCATCTCAGGAGTGTGGGGCTCCTCCCACGGCAACAAGCCCCGCCTCTGCTGCTAAGACACCGAGCCCGTCCCTCCAGCCTGCGCAAAGCCACCTGGAGATATCTGACAAGTAAGGTCACTTGGCGATGCAGTGTGTGTGGCTTTGGTGATGTTGGTTCACTCATTTGTGGTGACTCATCAGATTTCTTGTCATGGTAGCTAAAAGTTATAAAAAAGAAACTTTTAAAGCTGTAATCCTTTTCTGTTTTATTTCTGACAGACTAGATTGTAGAAGGTAGATACTTCTGCGGGTACAGCCTTCAAGTACCCACAGCAGTTGGTGCAATCTCTGATCAAATATGGCACCATGGATTTGAGACTGAAGAACTTCAAACAATCACACTGATGTTATTGTGTGATCTATCTTCTGTTTATTCAGAGAGGCTGAAGAAAAGACACATGATGACTCAGCGGCTGCTGCCCCTTCTGTCCTGGTTTCACACAAAGACCCCACTGCTGCTCCATTACAACTGATGCCACTGGTGAGGACACACAGACACACACACTGACACAGACACACTAACTGCACGTTGAAAAGTTTCTTTGTATGAAATCTGTGATATTTGTTCAGGTTAACGACGCTCCAGCGGCAGAGCAACCCCAGACAGTCAGTGTGAATCTTCAGCAGTCCCCCGCAGGTGAGTTACTAAGAAGTAGTGTCTCTTTCTGTTTATTCATTATACTGTGATTCAGACTATTTTGATGATAGATTAATCGTTAAAGTAATTTTTCATGCAGACGTTGCAGAAAATGTTGTTTTCAAAGATTTCCTGCTTTTCTCTGTTTTATATCATATTAAACGGAATATCTTTGGGTTTTGGACTGACAATACAAGGCATTTAAAAACATCACCTTGGATTCCTGGGATGGGCATTTTTTTAAACGATTAATCTAGAAAATAATCGGCAGATTAATTGACAATGAAAATAATCGTTTGTTGCAGTCATTATACTGTAAAATATTTTTTTCCCTGAATCCACAGGTCCAGCTGCAAGACACCCTGGGCCACCAACATGCTGGGATAGGTCAGTGAAGCATGTATGTGTTTAGATACTAGTCTGTATTTTCTATCTATCCACTGTCTGATATAATTTCCTCTCTCCCCCACAGCTCCCCCTCCTCAGGTTGTCCTCCTGGTGGATGGAATAAATCGAACACCCAGCAGCTTCCTCCCTCCTCCTCTTCCTCTTCATACCCAGCAACTCCTCCACCCCTCTTTCCCTCCCCCCTTTTCCACACATTCCTTGCTGCTCAGCAGCCTCTCAACAGTTACCCCCCTGGGTACCCACCTACAACGCCCGTCTGGACGCTCCCAACCCTCCAGGGTGCCCCCATCCCTTCCCTCTGCTCCTCTACCTCCGCCTCCTCCATCCCCGCCCTCATCCCCAAGGAGTGGTACATGAATCAGAGAAATAAGAAGGAAAGGTAAATGAAGCACTCAACTGGTCTCATTTTCACAAGCAGCAGGTTACTGAAAAGTCTCAATCGTCTTAAATTTTAATTATAGGGGAAATTAATTTGCCGGCTGTTTTAGTCTTTTTAAAATGGTCTTTCTTTCAGGAGGAGGACAGCATACTGATAATAATATGAAATAAAGACCTCTCAGTTGCTTCCCTCTCTCTTTGTCACTCAGGTCACCTCACAGAGGATCTACCTACAGACACTCCTCCTCTCGTTCTAATTCAAAGTCTTCGAAACCCAAGTCTGGTCGCTCCTACTCTCACTCTTCAAGCAGATCCAGATCCCGTTCCCGGTCCAGGTCCCAAGGCAGATCAAGGTATCTTGTGCAATTTTTCAGATTTTGTTACCTTTTTTTTGTATTCTATTTTCCATCATTAAAATGATTCTTACAAGATCTTGCATTTAATGTGTTGTCTTTTTTTTGAAAAGTGAGCCTCTGGTACGGTACTGTTGTGCAATGGACATATTAAGGGCCAACCAATATTGGATTTTTGATATCAGTAGTTTAAAAGTTTGGGGGTTTAAAAATTCTGATATCGCTATACCTGCCAATAGTACCTTTTTTTATATATAAACACATTACATAGAACAGTATTGATACAGATTGCGGATACATACTGAACTGGGCATTTTAAAGTTAAACAATCAACTGGGCAGTGCTCTTTGGACAAATGTCATAGTGACACTATTTCTAGATCACCTCAAACCTAGGTTGGCATTTCTTTCCTGCAGTTTCTTGTTACTTATCAGCCGATACTGATATAAATGCTCTAATATTGGCTCATTTCTCGGTCTAGCTGTAGCCCATATACTAGTTCTTTCATTAGAACTAGTACATGGGCTAGGGTATTATCAAGACTTGTGTAGGATTTAGAAATCTTTTACACATTGGATAAAATATCCAGTATGACAGAAATAAACATGGAATTAATGTGGTTTCTGTGGGGAGTACATCAACTCAATCAATAACAAAGCAGTGGTGCTTTAAAATATGTGTCATATTTGACACCATGATGATTTTCTTTTCTTTTCCCCCAGGCCCCACTCGCCTTACTCCCGCCACAGGGACCTCCATAGCCGCTCCCATTCCTCCCACTCTTATAGCTATGGTTACAAACGTTCCCCTACACCGTCCTCATCATCTTCACCTCGAGTGGGTTACGACTCCAGGTCCAAGTCACCATCAGATCACCGCAAAAACAGCCATCACAGTTGGCATCACAGTAAGAAATCAGCTTCGAGCAGCTACAGCTCCAAGAGGCGAGGGGAACGCTCCCAGAGGGAATCCGGAGGTTCAGGGGGGAATTTTGATAGTTACCTGTATGCTCAGCATGCAGAACCAACTGGCAGCCTGGGGTTGGACAGAGAGCGCTACCTGCAGTGGAAAAGGGAGTACAAAGAGTGGTGTGAGAAATACTTCAACAGCTATGTCGGACACTTCCACCAGCTGCCTCCTCCCCCCCTCAATCTTCCTCCCTCTCTTCTTCCTCAGTGGGGGGACAGAGAAGGAAGCAGAAATCCCTCACACGCCAACTCGGAATCTCGCAGCCGACCACAAGGTAGGCGCACTTCCCGGAAGGACGAGCGCTCTCCTCCATCGCAGTCATCCAGTGACAGTCGCTCCCCTCCTCCTCAGTCTTCAAGTCATTCCACGCCATCACAGTCATCCAGTGACAGTCGCTCCACGCCATCTCGTTCGTCCAATGAAAGCCATTCCCCTCCCTCCCGGTCGTCTAGTGACGGCCGCTCCACTCCATCTGAAGACGGGGCTCAGCTGAGGGGATATCAGCAGAGGTGCGCTCAGAAGTACAGCCGCCTGCCAATCACAAAGGGCAGTGAGAAAGTGGAACTGCAGGAAACAAGTAAAGATGACAAGCACCTGATCACAAAGAAGAATCTCAGAACCTTAAAATATGAGCAAGAGAGCATGAAGAATCATGAGGAAGGAAGAGGAGAGGAGTCTTCAACCCCTGATGCTGCAGACACTGGACCAAATACCTGCAAAGACGGCACCCCAATACAGGACAGAGCAACTGCCAGTGAGGCCTTAAAATCAGTCCAGCCACTCTTAAAACCAGATAAACGTTTCGATAAAGACTATAAAAGGAAAAGCGGAGAGCAAAGGAATTTGGAAATAGAGAAAGGATGGAGAAGAGACAAATATTCAGGCTCCAGGCAGGATGTGGAGGGACGGCGCAAAGAAAAGCCCAGCAAAGGGGTATGCAGGGTGGATACAGACAGATACAACAAACCTGGAGGCAGCAAAGCTTCTGACTCAAGATCAGAGAAGAACAGAAAAAGAAAAGGAGAAGACATGGAGAGAAGTTCTGTTAGGGCACAAAGCAGCAGATGCCTGAAAACAGAAGTTGCAGAGGTCCCTACAACCCGCAAGAGTGAATCACCTGATCCATTTGACAGAAAGAAGCAAAAAACTGAGAAGAAAAAGGAAAGGAAAACATGGCCTCTGACAGAGAGAGACATCTGGGAGGGAGGGGTAATGGTGAAACCACAGAAGAAGATCAGCATCAACATCAACCTGGATGGAAAAAGGAAGGAAGAGAAAACTGAAAAACAGGACTCGTCTTATTTAGAGAGCATCAAAATTGAGAAGACTGATAATGTAGAGGAGGAGAAGTCAAACAGAGGAGAGACTGAAGTAAAAGAAAAGAAGGAATCCTGCAGAGACGAGGAAAGTTTGTCTGAAGAAAAAATAAAACCAGATGAAAGACAGGCAAGACCGATATGGGAGAAAGCTACCTTCAGAGATGATAAGGCAGGGATGAGGGAGAAAGTTGAAGCAGAGAAGAAAGAGAGCAGAGAAGAGGATGACTTTGACCTATGGCATAGCATCCTAACAGGAGTGGAGGAGGCAGAGGAGAAGAAGGAGAGTAAAAAACAGTTGGAGGAAGGAGATGGGATGGAGGGCAGAAAAGTAGAAGAGTTGACAAATGACCAGAGAGTGGGGAATGACGGTGTACAACAAGAGATGGGAGAGTTAGTTGCAGGTGCTCAGAAGGAGAGGGCAGAGGGAGAGAACAGAGGAAACCCGTGGGGAGAGTCGAAGCCAAAGGGGGAGATGATGGAGAGAGTGAAGTGGAGGATGAGGAAAGAAGACGAAGACACAGTGAGGTCCGAGTCACAAAGGCGCGGAAACAAGGACCACCATGAAGAACCAAACACCACGGTGGACGATGGCAGGTCAGAATGTTACTTATTTGTTCTTTAGAGTTATCCCTGCAATATTTCAAACTGATATGCTGTCAAAAATGTTTTATTTATTTAGATATATTTTTGATGACTGATGATTGTTAGCCAGCACTGAATGCCAGCACTGAATGGCGGACTCCGCCTCTAACAGTAACAACTTACACTGTACATTCTGTTTCTTTTATTCTGTTTCTATTGGCCCACATGTGCAACCAATAACAAGAATAGATACTATGATTAGAATGTTAATCAAGTGTCATTATGTCAACATATAATTAGTTGGGTCTAGCCAACAGTTAAGAAGTTTTTTCTGTCAAACACAGAAAGTGTTAAGTTCTTTCAAGACAGGATCCAGACATAAATCAGATTCTAGATTCTCTAGAAAGCATTTTCTATAGTAGAGTTGTGTACTGATGTAAAGTTTGTGTGTGTATGTTAAATGCAGCAGCTACGAGGATCAGGAGAGGAAGAGAGTGGTAACAAGTGTGAAGGAATACACTCAGAACAGAGCCACAGACAGAGAGGAAGAGCTCGTACTCATACAGGTGTGGAAATTTGTATAACGTAAATTAATAATAATTTGTGTTTTGTATGATTTTTGTCTTGTATAATTATTCTTTGGTTGAACTGCGTTGCTTTGTTTCAAAATATTAACTACAGCACTCATACAGGCATGCACAGACAAAATATGTTTATCTCAGTCACGTCCTCACTCCCTGTCTCAGGTCCCTCGCTCCAAATGGGAGAAGGAAGAGTCTGAGGAAGGCAAGCAGGATGAAGAAAAGGTCAAAGTTGAAATGGATGCTTTTGCAATGTTTCTGCCCCAACCATCCATGTCTGTGACAGCAGAGACACCAGCTGACAGGGAAACAGAGGGAGAGCATGAACAGAAGAGACAGAGGTCAGTGGAAACGGAGAGAGACGGGGCCAGATCATTGGAGAGAGAGAAAAACTCCAGCTCACATAGAAGTGTGGCTCCCTCTAGTGGCAAAGACAGACCTGACAGCACCATGTCTGCAGAGAGAGACAGGGAGAGAGGGATGGAGATGGAGAGACCCAGGGACAGAGAGAGAGGGAGGGAGAGTGAGAGACAGAGAGATAGGCAGAAAGAGAGCAAAAGATCAAAAGAGAGAACAAGGGAAGAAGAGAAAGGGAGAGACATGGAGAGAGAGAGGGGGCACGGCAGCAATGCCTCGGTCCAAAAGAGGAACCCCCCTTCCTCCTCTCACTCCTACTCTTATTCAACGGCACATGACACAGAGAGGAGAGACAGGCAGCGAGGGAATGACCAGAGCAGCAACAAGACCTCCTCCTCCTGTCTTGGCGGGAAATCCTTCAGTGGCAGAAGCTGGGAAAGCAGTGCCATAAGCGGAGCTGCCGATCTGCCTGATCAACATGCATATAAAATCTATAAAGACACATTACTCGACCCAAAATTTAAAGACCAAGACCATTCCCACTCCTACTATAATCACCAAGATCCACCAGGGAACTACAGACACCAAGACAGACCTGCAGGGAGCCACCACTCCCCACCTTCCCACTCCCACAGCCGGAGTAAGGAGAGAAAGCCGCACCCCTCTAAATCCTCTGGAGGGTCAGAGCACAGTAAGCCCAGAACGAGCAGCCCTGGGCAGAACAGAAAAAATAAGAGCACGGTTGAAAAGGGGGTGTGGGAGCAAAACAGGGTGATAAAGGAAGGCAAAGGGGAGAGAGAAAATCCAGAGATGGTGGCTGAGAGAGAAGGAGGTAATCAATGGGAGGACGAGGCTGATAAACTGGACGGACAGACCAAGTGGGAGGGCGGGAGAGAACTGGAGGAAGGGGAGAGGCCCAGCAGCAGCAATGGCGTCAGTTCATCAGCGAGCCAGGAGAGCAGCAGCGACGATGGGAAAAAAGAGTGGAAGAAGAAACAAAAGAAGCACAACAAGGAAAGAAGACAACCGGCCCCGGAGCTGCTGGAGGAAGGGGAGCTGAAGAAACACAAACACAAGAAGAAGTCAAAGAAAAGCAGAGATGGGGGGGGAGAGGAGAGAAGTGGAGAGGTGGACAACAGGTGGAAAGAGGAGGAAGAGCAAGCAAAGCTATGCTCTCTTTTGTTCTTTTGACTGTCACAGGGGGGGAAAAGTTAACTTTACTGATGATGTTTTTCCTTTCTCTGTCCAAAAAGTGCCTGGATTTATTTTTTGACTTTATTTTTTCTTTTCCCAGGATACTTTTTGTATCACCTTATATGAAATATGCATCATCCAAAATGAAAGTGAACAAATTGTGAAGGAAAAGCACTTTATACGACATGTAAGAAAAATGAATGTGAATGGAAGCAAATGTGAAACATTTGACCTCTTGAATTACTTAAAGGTCAAGGAACTTGCTCAGGACTGCCACCAACTATGATTTATGTACTGAACCTGCAGCTTGCATGAAGGAAATCTTATATTTTGACAACAGGTCATTCAGTAATTTGATTTGCCTCACTCAGGAGCACAGGAGTGCATATTATTGAAAAGAGTTTGTGATTAATTTAAAGCATATACTGTGAATATTTATGATTTGAAACTCGTATTTTTTTTTTCTTTTTAATTTTGTAAATGTTTGATTTAAAACTCCTGGATGGATAAAGAAATGTACCAGAAGAAAGTTTAGTTTTTCCTGTTTTGAAGGAAATAAAAAGAAACATCCTTAAAATGTTGTGTGTTTTTCTGCTGCTTTTACAGCAAGTAACAGTAGTATGTTTGAGTGACTCATGTAATGAAAATCTGAGTAACAATTTCTTGAGATTGTAATTTAATTGGGCAAGAAAAGTGCACGTTCAACCGAGTAGGAACCTGACAGTATCTTAAGTCATGCTAGTGGTTTAGCTTTATTTAGCAAATGTTAGCACCCCTAACTCTTAATTATTATTATTGTTTATTTTCTTTATTGCATAAAAAAGGCATGTGTCATATTCAAGAAAATATAGTTCACAACAACAGGACAACAGAGCGAGTGACTAAATAATTAGTTAATAAATACTGAAATAAAAAATACAAGTTGTCAATCAGGAGTCAAGGTATATAGATATTGATAAAGATATAGGGCTTTTTTAATTTTACATAGTTCTATTGTTGTAGCCTAACATATGCAAATATATATTTTTTGTTTTAACAATATTTGTGTATGAAATATTTTGCCAAAATAATAATTATTCACCAAACTTCATGTTTTCATAGGTTAGAATTGGAATATTTTGATAATATTAAGTTATCCAATACTGAAAAGCTTTCCAAAAGGTCCTATTCATAACAGAGGTGATCTCAGAACACTTTTCAAATAGAACAGGTCTAGAATGAACTCGTCATAAAGGATGTAATGGTAATTTACCTTTTCTTCTTTTTAACTGGTAAGATGGTTCAGATTTCCTAGCTAGACATTTAGTATGCAGAAACATGTGGTCCATCCAAACTTATTTCCATTATATTTTATAATATGATTGTATAGAGATTATAATCTCCAACGCAGTAGAAACCAAAGACGTCAGATCAAACGTAGTGAACTAAAAGTATAAAGTAGCTAAAATGGAGATACTCAAGTGAAGTACAAGTACCTCAGAAGTGCTGTCTTTTAAATGTGCATAATTCAAACATTCCTTCATCAGTAGGTATCCCTACAAACTAAACCCTCCACTTCCTCCCAGTACTCAAGTTTCACATCATCATCATCATCATCATCATCATCATCATCATCATCATCATCATCCTCCTGATGAGTGAAACAAGGCTGTGAATACATGAAGGCACTGGACCTGTTAGGATTGTTGAAGTATTAAACTATTTGCAGGAAACAGTCCACTGTCACCATTCACAGTTTGTCCTGTTTAAATGTGGGTCAGTCGGGGCTATTACATAACCTCATTAAAAATACATTCACAGCCTACAGAACAATTTGTGGACAGCCTTGCCAAAATATTCAATATGATGCGAGAAAGTCTTTTTTTTAAGTGTTCATTTGGTGAGCACCTCACGGGTCCTCACCCCCTCCCCTCCCCTCCCATAAAACAATAACTTAAACATTTAGATTTTATTTTGCTCTTAAAGAAAATATGTATTACTTTTAGTTACTTGATCATTGCTAATCTTTGTCTAAAGTCTCTCACTGTCTCTCTTGCTCACCTGTCCTCCACTTTAAAGATCTGGTCTTTTAAGGACATTTCAAGCACAGTTTGGATCAACCGTCCTTGAACAGTGAGCATACAGCTGAAGTAACAACCTTACCACAAAACACAACTAGACAAAACATTTACTTTTAAATGTTTCCTTTTCTTCCTCAAACCGAGGAAGTAGCAGATTCTTCTCCATGGCAGTCCTGACTTACGTCTTTCTCAGCCTGGAGCTTGAAGGCAAACTCAAGGTTGGTTGAGGTCTGTTGTTCCCCCAGTGTTACCTTCAGGTCCTCCATCTGCTGCTCCATCGTCTGCTGGAGGAGTCTCCTGCTCAGCCCTCAGCGTGCTGATCCACTCCTGGTCCTCACTCCCCTTTCAGCGCCAGATTTCATCTCCGTCTCGAGTTGTTGCTGATGGGTGGCTCTTCTCTTCCTGCAGCTGATCACTGAGCTTCAGTTTCTCTCTTTCTGGAGCTCGTTTGTTAAATACAATCCTGTTCTCATTCGTCTCTGTCTCTGCTGGAGAGCTCCTTAACCTTTTCCTCTTGACAGGCAACGTGCGGCTCTGAACTTTAGAGCTGAGCTATCACCACCTCTGCCTGAGTATTTAGAGCCTCGTTCTCTATCTCACAGTCACTCAGCTTCCTGGCTCTCTCGTCTTGGCTGATGGATTCTTTCAAGAAGTCATGTTATTCTTGCACTTTGGTCTTCCTCTAACCTGCTGAAAGATCTGACGTGTAGTGATTCTGCCTGAACAGACACTTCACTATGTCTACCACTCATATGTGTTAGCTAGATATGAAGTGAAAGATAAGGAGACAGCTTAGCACAAAAACAGGAAGCAGGGCAACTACAAGTTGCGGTTTTATGAAGGGTTATGTGCTGGACTATTTCTCTATTAGCATGACTGTAGACTCTTGATCTTGTTATTTTTTTTAAAGTAGCTATCAAAGATAATTGAATCTTTCAGCTGAAGTTAAAGCATGAAACGCACCGGTTGCAATGTCTTCATAAATGCCAGGGATGTGTGTTTCTCTGTGAGCTGAGAGAACTGCTTAACCTGTGAGTCTTTCAGTAAAACCACTTTGAGAAAACATGTTACATAGGCCGTAGACAAAGCTTAACCGAATGGGGCGACTCTTTCAGAAAAATAAAAGCTATGATTTAGAGTTTCCGACCAAAGGGAAGAAGGTTCACAGAGGCCTCTTGGTTGTGTCAAGTGAGTGAGAAGGTTTCTTTGGGACCTTAAGTACATTCAATAAATATTGTGATGGTTCAGGGATCATTTTGGCCACAACAGTATGGAAAGAAATCTGTAGAATGAATGATCCCTGAAGTAACACGCTCTTTACCTCCATCTCTGTGCCCTTCTTCGACTTCCTCTGCTTGTTGTCATCTCTCCACTTCCTCTTTCTCCTCTTTGCCTATCCGGCTCTTATAGTAGCTTCCCATCCAGAGACTGAACAGCACCTCTCATCCACTCTCCTAGTCTGCTTGCCTTCGTGCATGGACAGGTACCGATGTCCATGCTGAATGCAACAAATATATTTTTTGGGACATTTCTTTATTTCCTCTACCTTAAAAAGCCCTAAAACTTGAATCAAGACATCAAACAAACCACGAACAAAGACGTCCAGTTTTCCGACAGGGCGATGGCTGTTTGCTTTGTTAGGGTTTTTGTTTGTGTGGGAGGTGGAAGGATGTTAAAATAAATCTGAAAGACGTATTCAATATGCCTGCTGTCTGTGCTGGCTGGGGTTATTGTGTGCTGTGTGTGTGTGTGTGTGTGTGTGTGTGTGTGTGTGTGTGTGTGTGTGAAAGTTGATGCTTGAAGTATATCCAAGCTTTTCTTGCTTCATTAACTAACTACAAGGAAGACATGGCAGAGATCCAGCCTCACTGTCTCTCTCTGTCTCTACCCTGTTTTGCCATTGTGACTGCAATCACTCGTCGTCGTGCCAAGGCATGCTGGGATTGAACAGAGGAAATCTGGTAGGTATGCGGGATGCCCGGCTTGGCTTGTGTCCAAACCTTGGACGGAGGGGTACCCGGACGGTCTCATGCTCTCTCCATTGGCTTGTGCACTGCTGCGTGTCCTCCAAAATGGACGCTTAAACTTCACGGGCTCCCAGCATCCCACCTCGCCCCTGCTTCCTGCGGCGTCTGTGTTTCAACTGCATTTTTTTTTTTTGCTTTGAAGATGCTTTTTTGCTGTTGAGTCAAACATGGTTGTCTGTCCATCTGTGCTTCAGTATATGTGTGTGTGTGTGTGTGTGTGTGTGTGTGTTAGTAGAGGGGGAATGCTGTAGACAGACAGACAGACAGACAGTAGCATATTATCTGTTTATAGCAGACTGGCTGAAGGATGAGAAAAGATGCAGAAAAAGTGAGATAAAACAGAGATGTGGCACAGACAGACAAACAAACAGAGGCACATCCAGACAGACAGGTCCAGACAGATCCAGACAGACAGACAGACAGACAGGTAGTCACACAGATAGATAGAAGTAAACTGCAGATTAAGATGTGAAAAAAACACCAGGACACTGACCCTGCCTAACACAAAGGCACATTAGAGAATATGAGACATCAGACAGACAGATACAGATGGCAGACAGATGCACAGACACACAGACAAAGATCCAGGAAGGCAGAAGGACAGACAGACAGACAGACAGGTGGACCCTGTAGCAATCAAGAGCAACATCCCTCCTGCTCTCCCTGTGTGGTGAGGATCAGAAACGAGGTACGCTTTGTCAGATTTATCTTTCAGCCTTCTTTATTTCTCTGTCGTCCCGCAGTCCGCTGCGCTTTGTTTCTTCCTCTGTTCTTATTTTAGCCTCTTTTTTTGTTTTGTCTTTTTTTTTTTTTTTTGTCTGGGTTTCCTTCTCTCCTTTGTGCCCGTGATGTGTGCCGATGTCTCAGGGCGCTGTGCCAAGGCTGCCTGATGAAGACTAAGCTGTGCGTTCTCTTGTTTGTGTGTGTGTGTGTGTTGGTGTATGCAGATTGGCTTGTTTGGGGCCGGCAGCAGCTGCAAACACTTGTTTGTGGTATTACATCCATGTGGTGATTGAGAAAAGGACCCAGTGCCAGTCTGTTCTTTGAGATAACTAAGTCTTACTTTATAATTTGATGTTGTGCAAAAAAAAGTACGGTCAAAGTGCTGTTTGTATGAGAAAATAACAAGTGTAGCAAACATTAAGCTCCAAAAACAAGAAAAACATGCAGTGTGCAACCGGCGAAAGGGAAAGCAGGGTTAGGGTTAAATAAATACTTTATACAGTATGTAATCCATGTTGGTGCATTCAAGGTCACTGCAGCCCAATTCACATTATAATGCTTATTGCTGTTTGTTTTCCTGCTTGATTTAATTTTGTTATATAGTTCATTAGTGCAGTTTTCAGCAGCTTGGATGTTGCAGCGTCTTTAAGTGAACCAGAAAGAAGAATCATGATAACAGCCCATGCTCTTAAGTGCAATATCAAATAATATGATGTCAAATAAATGCTAAGTGAGATCAATGCAAACCAGCAACAAAATTGGTATAA